AAAGTCTAAAATCTAATCTTAAAGGTAGAGAGGGTGTCCGCCTCCTGAACTGAGACTGGGAGTTGGTTCCGTAGGAGAGGAGCTTGATGGACTCTAAATCCTGACTGAAAATCCTCAAACAAATCATTCTTGTGCAAGTGGTCACATAACTGCTTAGCAACAGCTTTTTCCAGAATTTTCGAAATAAACGGGAGATTGGATATTGGTCTATAATTAGCTAGGACACCTGGGTCAAGAGTAGGTTTTTTGAGTAGAGGTTTAATTACTGCAACCTTAAAAGCCTGTGGAAGATAACCTGTCAATAGAGAAAAGTTAATCAGATCTAATATAGATGTGTTGATTAGGAGAAAGACGTCTTTGAGCAGCCTGGTCGGGATGGGGTCTAAGAGACATGTTGATGATTTAGATGAAGCAATTGTTGAGGTCAACTCAGAGAGATCTATGGGAGAGAAGTAGTCCAAGTATAAATGAGGTCTTACAGATGTTTCTAAAGCCATTGTAGTAGATGGCACATCCATGAGAGCTGTGGGAATGGTCCGACCAATTTTTTCTCTAATAGTTGTAATTTTATTTATAAAGAAGCTCATGAAGTCAGTCTTTGTGGGACTCCGTATATCATGGCTCTTCTTTTAGATTCACAATTACCAATACTGACTACAACTGTTCCTGATAACCTGACCCAATTTTCCAGTCCATCTAAAAGTAATTCATTATCCATTTTATCAAATGCTGCACTATGATCTAACAACACTAGGACTGTTAGATTCAGGTGAATGTCATTTGTCTGTAAGAAGTTACTGAGTACAGTTTGTCCCAACTGCTAAGACATATTCTGAATCAATTCAGTTTTCTCGAAACTGCACACACCTTTTTTTATTTATCTCCTCTCATTTTCTATACCACTTAGTCCCAAACAGGGTCATGGGGGGCTGGAGCCAATCCCAGCCGGCATCAGGCGAAAGGCAGGGTACACCCTGGACAGGTCACCGGTCCATTGCAGTGCCAACACGCAGATGAACAACCACACACACACACATTCACTCCTACAGGCAATTTAGAGTCACCGATCAACCTAAGCCGCATGTCTTTGGACAGTGGGAGGAAGCCAGAGTACACACACAAGCACAGGGAGAACATGCAAACAGAAAGGTTGCAAACCCGGAACCTCCTTGCTGTGAGGCAACAGCACTACCCACCGTGCTGCCGTTTGTTTTTTTTTTATTGAAACACAAAATAACACATTTACAGGACAAAGCACATAACATATGACACAACAGACATTAACAAAAGAGACAAAGGGATTATTAATTGAGGGTATTAAGTTGTGTGTGTGAAAGTATGCATTGTGTGTATCCAACTTTATGCAGACTGATATTCATTACTTAAGGGAAAATAGAATTAAACCAAATAAATTAGGAAAATGGAGGGGGTATAAATGTAAACAAATGAAAAGACAGTTTGATAGAAAATGGGTGATTGTAGTAATAAAATAAGGAAGATGCTGCACCCGGTACTTTTTACCATGCTAACTCAGAGACGAGGCAGTCCAAGTAACTTCAAAACAGTGCTGATTTATTCAATGCAAATTAACATACACGCTCAGGTATCTTGCACCTCCAACATGCACGCAGGCCGCTGAAAGATGAAAGACCCCGAACCACAACAGGCCTATACATTATATCACTTCGAGCTAACCCCATTCTACTCAGAGACGTCACGGTTTGGCGTCTCCCGGTCCCAGCTTTGCAGCTGGCCAGAGCAGTAGTCAAAGCATGAGGAAAATCAATGTGTGATTGATTATGTGGTGTGTAGCTAAAACATTCTAACACAACCTCTAGTGACATGTCATGACATTAAACATAAGAAAATATTATGGCTATAGTTATGCACATCATAATATTAAACATCCTGTCTCCTGACAGTCAACTTTCTATCTAGTTATCTTTGACCATAAGCATCCTGCAGCACTCATGAGAATGCCTAAGCATTTAACAGCCTGAGCTAGACATCCTGTCTACTCTAAACATTTGTAATACATCAAGTATCTAACCAATATCTGACTAAAAATACCTAACAAAGAAAAAAGCAATAAAGCAATATCAATCCTATAATATATACTTTTGCATTCACATACTTATACATACTCAGATATATGTAAACACATTCATAAAACAAAAATAAATGAAATTAACATATCGGTAAATGATTAGAAAGAGGGAAGAGGAGAAGAGAAAAAAGGGGGGGTGTAGCTAATATTCTCATGTAATTTGGTTTGACTAATACATGTGACACTCAAAACAAGCATGGACAATGAGGACTAATAACAAAACTAATGAAGTAAAAAAGCAGTGTTACGTATGAGTGTGGTGTGGACCCCAGTTGCAGACACAGACCAGGAGGAGTAGGAGCCCAAAGAAAGTGGTTTATTGCACAAAACACAGGTAAAGCTGGGTGGCAGGAGGACGAGGACCCAGGGACAAGACCAGGCAGGAACCAAGAGAGATGAGGAGACCAGGCAGGGACCAGGCAGGGACCAACTTAGTGCAGTTCCTTTAATCCCAATAACATGTTCAAGTCTGTGCAGTAAGATGCTGTGATCAATGGTGTCAAAAGCAGCACTGAGATCTAAGAGGACAAGTATGGAGACAAGTCCTTTATCTGAGGCTAGGAGAAGATCATTGGTAGATCCATACAACTGACAACTGCAACATGATAATTCTATTTTTTCCTGAAATTGGTATTTTTATGGGCAGCATTGTGGAACAGCACTGTTGCCTCACAGCAAGAAGGTTCATGGTTTGAGCTCCAGCTGACCTGGTGCCTTTCTATGTGGAGTTTGCATGTTCCCCCTGCGCCTGCGTGGGTTCTGTCCGGGTAATCAGTCTTCCTTCCACAATCCAAAGATATGTTGCTTAGGCTGAGTGATGACTCTACATTGTCTGCAGGAGTGAGTCTGAGTTTGTCTCTATGAGTCAGCTTTGTGATAGACTGTTGACCTGTCCAGGGTGTACCCCACCTCTCGCCCAGTGTCAGCTGTCACCCCCACGACCATCTTTAGGATAAGCGGTATAGATAATGGATGGATGGATGGTATTTTTAGGCCAAATTACATGATTTACATTGTGACACTGACTACCCTCACAGGAACACACTGTCAAGAGAAATTCAAAACAATATTATATAACACGTTTGAAATGTCACACTGACAAAGAGCAGAAGTTTCTCACTCCTTTATTTTGAACAAATGATAAAGTGATATAGTGTTGCTGTAAGTTGTAATTTCATATGTTGACGCTGCTAGAAAATAAAGATGCAGCATAATATAAATATGAATCCAGCTAAAAATACAGCAAAATTTTAATTATTATTGAATCGAACTAGGCATCATTTGCTAAATCTTACCTCAGCTCTCGGTCAGGCCATAGAATCTTCAGTGTCAGATAGTCACTGAACCAGGCATGAACCAGAGTAGCCCAGTAGAAACTAACATTATCCTAAATGTCAGGTCTGCTCGGCGCTACATGCCTCTCTCTCCCGCTCTCTCACATCCTGCAGGCTCAGCTACACAGCTGATTATCCACTCTCTGGGTGTAGCATGCAGCTGAGGTTCATCCCCAATGATCAATCTTCCCTACTTAAAGCGCTGGCAGACGCTCCTTCGTCGCCAGATCATTGACGTGGAGGTCGAGGTTTTATTCGATGCGGCCACACATGGATTCTGTTACGCTATGCTTCGTTCCAGCCCTGTGGCAACTCCTTAGACCTGTCTCGTGCCTATATGATTTCTGCTATGTCCTGCTGCATTCACCTACCAGCCCACTGTGGATCGCACGCTTCTCCTCTATGCTGCTGCAGCGTCAATCCACTCACCTGTCTGTCTTTGTCCTCTGATCCTCCTGGTTCCTGCTGCTCGCCTGCTTGCTTACCTGCACATCCTGGTCCTTTCAGCCTCCACTGCTCAACCCTGGTTTGGACCACATTAACCCCATTGACTTTGTTTTCCCTCAACCGCTTGTTTTTTGTAATAAAGACTCTTTTGTTTTCCAACTAGCACTGAGTTTGCACTCAGTCCTCTTTCTCTCTCTCACCTCCTGGTGAGAGACACCAACCCTAACATGATAAGGTTTTGGGATTATGCTAGGTGCCCTGGTTCCCCATGATTGTTGTAAAGTTTATCTAGGATGCAAGTACAATAGATGTGCTGTGTTATATGGACCCAAAGTGGCATGGTGTGGTAATGGGAGGCCCTTGATTAGTTATAGCGTGCTTGACCTCCAGTGCCCCTCTGTCTTCTGCTTGTTTAGGATTCATTCCAGAGCACACAGACATGTCAATGGCCATTTATAGGATCTTGCTGTTTTAATTGGTGTCCTAAATTTTGTGACTTCTGTGTGTTTGTGTGTTTATGCCGGGAAAGAAGTTGAGCTCATGAGATGACTTTTCTTTCTTTTTTGGATGATGGTGTAAAGATGCTTAAGAGAGCTGAGCAACGTAGAATTTACAACATGTCCAACTTTTAAAAAGCTTGTAGGCAGAATATCTAATAAGCAAATAGATGGTTTAATATGCCATGCGATTTCTTTGAGAACTTTGTTATTCATTTCAGTCAGTTCAGCTGTTAGAGAGATCATTCAAAAAAAAACTCAGGTTGGAGAATACAGTGCACTACATAGTGATGTTTATCAAGTTGGTTCATGCTGTTATATAGTTTGCAACATACTGAATATTTAATTTAAGTTCTTTAGAGTATAAAGTTTGTGTGTCAGAAAATGCCAGTATATAATTTAACAGATCCTTTATCATCCTGCATCACGTACCAAATGGCTTTACATATAAAAAAGTCACTTTATGCTACTTGTCTTGACATTGAACTCTTAACATTTTTACATTAAGCCATAGCAACTCTGAAAATGAGCAAACCTCAACTGTGTGGTCTCTCTTATCTTTACATAAACATACTCCCCCTCTGACTTCTGGGTTTTCCCTGAGATCAGAGATGGAAATTAACTAGTAAAAGGAAATTACAGATCAACGGATTGTGCTTATCTTTCTTCAGACACAGGTGACATGCTACTCTGAGGACTATGACCATAGGAAACAAGCTCAGTGAGAAAAACTATGAGTTTATTTTTATTTGAAGGGGACCTTTTCAGGAGAGAAGTGTAAGTTTGTTTTTAACTAACTAGCTATACTTTGACTTTGTAATTTTTAGTGAATCATTATTGTTTGTACTTAATGGTTTGCTATTCACATTCAGCATTACTGTAAGACATCTTCAGAAGTGTCAGAATCAGTAGAAATAATGAGGTTGCTGTGAAGCTACTGTCAGCATGTTCATTAAAGTAGACGTCACAGCATATTACACGTTGGTTCGATCCTTTTATTATCTGCCAACAGCAGCACGTTTAATGAGAGCAGGTGCTGGGAAAATGACTAAACTGGAGGCTTGTGGTGATGAAAAACGGATAACTGAAGTAGGGCACCAAGGTACTCAAACTAATGTTCACAGTTTCTGCATTTACCAAAATACCACCAAACTAGGTCACTGGCCTCTTTAAGATGTTTCATTCACACAGCAAAGTTCATTTAGTCAGATGTGTCTCACAAAGCAAATCAGCAGAGGAAGTTGAATCTATTGCTTAACACTTGTTGGATTGCACCTTGATGATAAAACCTGACAGCGTGCAGGCAGCATGAAATTCTGGTGAGCCTTATCTGAACATATCCACTAATGAAAGGTGATGTGTCGGTATCTATGATAGAGAAAATGTAGAAAACATGTAAGAACTGCTGTATTGAAAGGTACTTTTTCCTTTCAAGGTATCTTAAAAAATCAGATGCTGAGATTTGATGCAGTGCATGTTAATGTTAACATGTTAATCTCAGTTGTTTCATCAGGATGATGCAGTGACAGGAATGTTTTATCTCACAGCTGCTTGTCACAGAGTTTTTTGTACTTTGGTAAATGTTATGTGCTTCAGCTTTCCACTTGAAGTTCAGCACAACACTGTGTCTCCTGTTTGTGTCAGCCTGAACATGTCCTGTACACAAATGGCTGAGGTAAGTTTTAAAGACTCACTTCATGTATGAAAATTCCCATGAAACTGCTCTTTAGAAAAAATTATTTGGCAATTTAATTATACAGATGACCTTTGTTTATAGCTGCTGAGTCATGCTGAGTGGGCTCCTCGAGATTAACAAAAATGAGATAAGATGAATATCTTCTCAGCCATTTGGAGATGCATCATTATACTGCTCACTTTTTCCCTAAACCGTGAGTATCAGTCTGTTTGTCTGTCTGTCTTTCTATCCAGCATATTCAGTTAAATTTGGTCCTTGATTTGGTGAGAAAAAGGGTTCGTAGTTGCTGTGGTTTTCAAGCTCTAAACCCTGTTTTGCAGCTCTGGCCACAGTGGTGAGGTTTAAAAAAAAGTGTTTTTGTGTAACAGTCAAACAAACATGGAAAGAGTTTTTGTCTACAAATTTTCTTGGCATGTCTTGTTGCAAAGCTAGTAATGGACACTGACAATAACAGTGAGAACAGAGGAGGCAGGTTGTGTCACAGAATTACATTCCTGACAGCACCGATGAGCTGAACAATAAACCTGTTGCTGTGCAGTGTGCAATATTCATATGTACCATCTAATTTTAACTATGGTTTTTAAACTAAACATAACTCCTCACAAATGCTATGAAAACCTGTGTTTCTGTCTTTTCTGGACAGGTTGCCCTCTGCTACCTGCTGGCAGCCAGCGCTTCAATGGTCTTGGCTACCTGACAGTAGAGCCAGCCCCGCTTTTCCTCATAGGCTCAAACCTGACAGTGTACTGCCATGTCACAAAATGTCAACACGGGTAGGAATGGTGAAAATACAGCACGATGAAATATGAGTCAATATGCCTTGTCTATACTTAGGTACTCAGATATGTCAACTATGTTTTGTTATGTTTGACTTCTTGCCAAAAAAGGTTTTGTTCAGATGTAGTTATTTTTACTGACTTGCAGGTTCACAATATCTCTTGAGCTGAATGGTCAGACTGTGGATGCTAGGAAGAAAGTGAACTGCACCACAATGGTATTTAATCTGCTCAATGTCCAGACACCACGGCTTGAAGTGCTTTGTAAGTTGAAGGGGGATCAGCTGTCCAAGATTGTCAATGGACTGGAACTACATGGTGGACGTATGTACACTTGGTTCTGATGTCTACAGTCATATACATAGAATTAGGGTTGTATGAATTAAAAAGAAAACATAAAATTTTCCAATTTACATTATGTGCAAATACAGAATTATGAGCAAACATAAATTATGTACACACAGTGTATAAAACTCACTAGCTCATTGCCACTGATTTGATATTGTAGGCAGTAACATTAAGTTTCAACTTATTGTAGCTGTAATAAACTGGAATGACATTTGGTTTTGATACTCATCATCACTGCATGTCCAGCAGAGCCAATACTCAACTTTTCATAAGTCACCAACTGATGAAACAACTGCCCAAAAGTGGCCTGAATTATAACAGCTCACCCAACTGAAGAAAACATTGCTCAACTGGGCAGAAATCCACTCAGTCTGGTGATAGAGTAATGTATCTGAAAGCCACCTCACCTTTTCTAAATTTTATATACTTATGTGAATTTGATTATTCACAAACAATAAGTAATATGTGTAAATGAGTTTAAAACAAATTCCTACAGTAAAACTACATTACTGAATGCATGATCAGGGCCATCTATAATGCCTTTGCAGACCAGCAGGGGGCAGTAGTCCACTGGTTGAAAACCCTTGTTTCAGAACAAATGGGTGTAACAGCTGTGACTACTGTTGGTCAGGAGCACTCCTACAGGTAAATGGTCTTAAATTTGTATGGTGCTTTTCTATGCATTGCACCACACTCAAAGCCCTTTCATGCTATTTGGCCATTCACCCATTCACACTCCCAAGCACTTACACATTCATACACCAGTGACATCACCGGAAGTAATTGGGGATTCAGTGTCTTGCTCAAGGACACTGCAACATGTGGACTGGACAAGCCAGGAATCGACCCACTAATCTTCCAGTTAGCATACAACCCACTCAGGAGGTAGAGTGGGGAGGGATCGAGGTGACTTTCAGGATTAAAATAGTGCCCATCTGGTGTGTGTAAACATTTGCCATATAGCTTCCATTGTTATTTCTGGGAAAAACTCATAGCACACTTTTTGTCCATGAGCGACATCTTTTGATTCCCACACTGTGTGTGTGTGTGTGTGTGTGTGTGTGTGTGTGTGTGTGTGTGTGTGTGTGTGTGTGGAACCAGAACTGCAGGTGAACTATAGTGTGCCAGAAAACATAAGACAGAGTTTGCATTTCTCAGCACACATAAAAAATAACAGTGATTTCCTTTTCATTTTTTCCAACCTTTTCTCTTTAAGTCCCTCCAGATAAACCCAAAAGCATTAACTGTGAAACTACAAGGAGCTCAGATGCTGTAGGCTGCTCGTGGAAGAAAGGACAGGAAACGTACCTCCCCACAACCTTCAACATTTCAGTCAACAGGTATGGTGTTATTTTGGGGTCACATGAGGCTTTTGTTTGTTGTTTTTCAGCAGCTTAATATATGCTTTATCTGCAAAACTCATTTTAAATACATTTTTATATCAGAGAAAATGGCATCCAGATACATTTAGCCCAAACCCGACATGAAAACATCACCATACCACGTGGAATTTTAGATGAAAACACTAAATACCACTTGATTGTCACTGCCTACAACCACTTCGGAGCCTCACAGGAACTGTTCATCCTGTGTGTAAAGGATATAGGTAAGCTGTCACTTCTGTTGAACACTATAAATGAGTGTCCATCTACGTAAACTCACTTGTTTTTTAAAAAGGTGTGATCTGTTATTTCCTTGTGAAATTAGTCATCCTATGAACTATTGCATCATGTCATCACAGTTTGGCTATTTTAGCCTGGCTATCAGCAAACTGTTTCTCTGGTTTTGTAATATCTTTTTGAGGTGAATTGTTGGCTCAGTGCATCCATTGTTTCACTGAAGTGTTTGGAGTTATGACGTGCTTTAACAGCAGTGATTTCCTGAGTCACACTGTTGTTTGTTTTTGAGTCATGTTGCACAATCATCATCACTTGTGTTCTTTTATGATATTTCTACTGAATTTCAGTGATACCAGAGACCCCTCAAATTATGCAGATAGAGTTTGGGAATAGCTCCATAGCAACCATGTTGCAGTGGAAAACCCCTGAATCCTCAGTGCATCTCAGACCAAACATCAGACTCCACACAGATAATGGCTCCTGGGTAATGTGATGTTATGATACCTGTGATAGTTATGTGATGATTTGCAGAATCACCTTCTATTAGGCTGTCTGCAGATTAACTAATCTTCTGATGTTTTTCAGGAAGTGAAAGAGGGAACAGAGCTCAATGAAGGTCTGATAAGACTGGACAACTTGAGGCCGCTGACTGATTATGAATTCCAGTTGAGAACATGCTTCACACCCAGCTTGACCTCCACCAAAAGGTCGGTCTGCAGTAAATGGAGCCTGTCTATGAGGGGGAGAAGCCCTGGAAAAGGCAAGCTCACACCTGATCCACAACATTCTTTCTCAACATGCATCAAAGGCTGTCTGAATATGAAAATGTGCAAGTTTGTTGTCACTCATCCAACAACCGACATCTTGTGGTTGACCTTATCTTTAGGTCCATCTCAGCAATTACATGTGTGGAGGGTTTTCAGAAGCCATGCGACAAACAGGCTGCAGGTGGTGACAGTTTTGTGGAAGGTAATGTGTGATAACTGTTCATTAACTTTGGCATTTACAGTATATTAATACTGCCTATTTTGTAATACAGAGTTACGCCAAATACTAGAAGTTGTATATTCTGCTACATTTATTTAGTTATACCACACCAAGGCTCCACTTCTCATTGATTAAAAGAATAGTTATAACTTTTGCAAAATACTCTTATTCTCTCTCTCTCTCCTCCTTTTGGCCAAGAGTTAGGTGAAAAGATTGCTACCACTTTCATGTCTGTTGCAAAAATGGCTTTATCTTGGCAGTTAATGCCCTGCACTGCATCCAGATGAGAAATAGTCTAGCCATTATCTGCCCACAAGACCTTTATTGGTTTTACAAATTTTTGTGCGCACTAAACGAAAGAGATATAACACCTTAATCGGTGAGCTTTAGAGGTGCCAGTAGGTGGACCTTTTGACTGAGCCAGGCTATCTGCTTCCCTCTGTTTCTAATCTTTTTGCTAAGCTAAGCTAACCATCTGCTAGCTACAGCTTCATATTTGATTGGCAGATATGACAGTGGTATCAATCTTCTCATATAACTCCTTGTGAAAAAGCCAATAACATTACCTCCCAAACTGTCAAACATATTTCTTTAAAACATACCTCCTGGATGATGTAAACAAGTAAACCTCTAGTGATAGATGGACTTCTCCTAGCCCCCATCAAGAGAGGACTACAGTGGTGAGGTGCAGCAGTACAAAATGTTTCTGGTTAATGGCCAGACACAGAATGTGACCTGTGCTGCTGCTTTGAGCCAGTGTTCAGTCCAGGTACCAGCAGAGGTTCAGGCACTGAGCATCAGCGCTGTCACCTTATATGGGACTTCTCCACCAGCTGATGTGCCACTCAGACACTCAGGTACACAAAAACAAAAACATAAGAGGACAAAACCTAGAAACCTAGTAAAGCAAGATTAAGTTGTAAAGAAAGCCAAAGAATAAAATTTATATTTTTTGTTTAGGTGTTTTTGGACCTGTTCTGAGAGAGGTGGCTCCTGCAGTTAATGGCAGTGCTGTGCTCGTCTCCTGGTCATGGCCAGGGACCAAGCAACGGTCAGCGTCTGGAGACCTGCTGTACTATGTGATAGAGTGGACAAGTGTACCCGCAGCAGAGCTGCAATGGCAAAAGTTGCCCAAAGATCAAAATAACACATCCATCCCAGGTACATAGCACTTACAATTCAAGCATGGTGACAACGCAGTAACAGCCACTCCAACACACACATAAAACATTTACTGTATGAAACTGATATATAGGCTTAAACTGAGATATCAAACTGTGGCCTCTTGTGGGCTGTTGGTGAATTACACTCATTTGTGCATTTATCCTTTCGATACCCGTGGAAGATCTAAAATTAATCTTATACCGTTGATGCAGCTGAATTCAAAGGTTAGAAGCAAATTTGTGTATTTGTGAATTCTAGTTGAGAGTGTTTGGTTTCCCTGTATTGTTTCAGGTCTGAAGGCTGGTGTGAGGTATAATATCTCTCTGTATGCTGTGACCACCAGAGGCGTCTGTGTTCCATCATCTGGTCTGGTCTACTCCAAAGAACAGAGTAAGACCTGTAGACTCCACATGCCCACAGAAACAGCTTTTAAATGTAAAGGGGGACATTTTTCAACAACTGAGTTTATCGTGTGATGTACATACTGTATGTATGTACATTAAGGACTCGCACAACATTTGATTTACAGCATATACACACTGGTATGATCCTCTCTCTGTCTCTCTGTTTCAGAACCAGCATCTAGTCCCAATATGTTGGTGCTGATCCATGAGGCCAGGCGAGTCCTGATCCAGTGGCATGAGCTGCCTGTGGACCAGCAGAGAGGCTTCATCACAAACTACACCATCTATGTCCAGACGTTGGACTCCAGCAAAACAGAACGAAGTGGTGAGAAGTCATACTGTTTCATTTTATGTGTGTTTGTCTTATATATGTGAAGAGAACTGAAACAATTAAGTAATTCATCAAGTAGCTGGGTAATAGAAAATGAACTGGCAGTATTCCATTTAACACTGAAGTCATTTTTTAAAATCATAAGTGAGAAATATTTACTGATTTCAACATGAAAGGATTTTTTGTTTTTCTTTGTCTTATGTGTCAAATAAAATTGTGTTCACCACTAATGTGTTGTGACTGCAGCAGAAATCTCAGACATGTATTTTAAGCATTTTTCCAGTTAGAAAACTGTACCACTTAACCCATAAAACTACAGACCAATGTCACTGAGCTGCTTTGTATCATCTGTGGATTGTATCATTCTCCCTCACAATATAATGACACTTTGATTTAGTGTGAAGGTTTGGAGGAAACACAGCCTTGCTGCAGGTTTCCTGTTCTTGTACAATAAGGGCTCTTTATGGTGCCCATTTAACCTCACATTCATGTGTGTACTTTACCTTGGTCAGGCTAAGGTTTCTAGACTGTTTGTGGCTCTGCACACATATGGGAAATTATATATATGCAGTAGTGTGCATATATTGTGTTTCAGCATAAGCTGCTGTTATATAATGGAAAGTGCGCAACCTGCACTCCATTGTTAGTCCCCTCCCACAAACCTTCAATGCATCAGCAGGGTTTTTCTGCTCTTAAGTTCCAGTAACAAGGTGAATTTCAAGCATTACACTGCTGGTTGGAAAGGAGGGGTTAGCCTCTATATTAAGAAAGACAATAGAACCAATGGAGCATAACAGATGTTACAATGTTGATAAGGAACATTTACTATGTTTACTTTTATTCAGAAAGCCTGACTTAGGGTTATATTTAATCCTGCCTGACTGAATATATGTCTCAGACAAAGTTGAGGACATTATGACTGATCAGATGCCCTTAGTGAGCACAGTGATATTTGGTTAGTTGCCTTCTTTTTCACAATGCCTGCAGTGAAGCATAGAGTTTTCTAGAACTGGCTTTAACCATGAACAGGAAGCCATGTGGCTACATGCAACCATGAAGGCTGTTACTAACCCCCCTCCCCACTTCACACACTATTTCTGGAACATCTGTGTAGAGGCACCTGAGAACTTACCTTTTCCTCTTTCTGTTATGATATGTTGTGTGCATGCAGGGCACCATTATCCTTTCTTCAAGTCAGTGTTTTGCTCAGAATTACTTAAATGTGTTAACTTATTCTCATGCTTTTTTAAAAACTTTTTCTCAAAACACAACTCCTTGTCAGAAGCTAGTGATAGTCTATAGCAGTTATGGCTGCACCACACTGGGAAACACATACAGACATGAAACTTAATAAATATAAATTCTTTTTCTCTACATACTCAAGGGCTCTCCTGAAGTTGTTTCACAAGCAGATAAAATAAAACACAGAAAGCTGAACATTTTCCAACATTCATATTTGACAAACTGGTCTCACCACATGGGCCATTTAGAAGCTGTTCTGGAGCTTTCTGTCATACCGCACAAGCTTCCTTTTCAGATTAGCAGATTTTTTTTATTTTTGGAGTTCATCCATAGGTAGATGTTCACATCTGTTTTTCTGACCACTTAAAGCACTTCTCCTCCGTGACTGAAAATTCATGTTTGACGGTGGAAAAAGAAGTTGACAAAACAGTCTCACCACAACTTCCACTGAGGTCATTTCTGTTGTTTCAAAGGTCAAGACTTTACTTGTAGTCTCAACACTCATAATTAGTTATTTCATTACAGAAGAACTCGTCATGTTTACTGGATTTTGCGCGATTGTACAGATTAAATCAAAGCCGTCCTTGTTTAATTGCATATTTTCCACCTTAAAGCAGCTATAGTGAGTATTTTTATAACAGTGTATCAAATGACAATGTGAAACCTGTGTGATGGTATGAAAGATGTCACTTCTGATACAGAGAATAATCACCTGAAACTGCAGCTCCACTTTGAGTTTCAGCTCACTGTTTAGCTGTCCGACCCACAACTTTAATGTTTTGGTTCACTGTCATTGCCCTCATGAGACAAGTGTTTCAGTGAAAAAGTACAGTATATAAAGGCTTTGTACTGTAACTTCTCGGATGCAAATAACAGACAAAGTTAGGAACCAGCTGGAGAACATAGCATTTAGCACCTAAAGTTATATTTTTCTCAGGAGTTGGTAGAGATCAAAAACAGAGCTAAAAGACTGAATATTGGACTTGAATTCATCAGGTGGCCAGAAACACAAATCCAAATGAATGATAATGTTACTCTGCAACTGCTGGATGTGTAATAAGTTCACCATATCAACTTAAAGGCTGATGATATGTCAATGTTGTGTTCATAGCTTAACCACACACCAGTTATAGCAGCTTTAAATATCTAAAATAACTGTAGATGAGCAGCTTTAACCAAGGAAACCCTGACTCTCATCCAGTGATGGTGCCAGCCTCCAGCCCCAGACAGATGTGGATAGACTGTTCTGAAGGAACAGTGGCTTTGGAGCTGACTGCATCCAACTCAGTGGGAGAAGGACCACGAGCAAGACGGATCTCTTCTCTGCCTGCAGCCCCTCCAGGTCAGTATCCTGCTGCTATTCTCTGGCCCTGTTAAAACCACAAATACCAACATATTTAGCCATTACCTCTAAAGCACTTTCCTGTAGATACAGTGCATATGAAAGGTTTTCAGACCATTTCAAGTTTTCCACATTTTGTTATGTTTCAAATTCTTAAAATTGATTCCCTTAATCAAATAATATGATGTACATCAATGTAAACTGTGCCATTCTGCATAATTAGTACTTGTGCTTTTGGTACTTTAAGTATATTTCTTGCTAACACTTTTCTACTTTTACTTGATATTTTCAATGCACGACTTTTACTTGTAACAGAGTATTTTTTTTATACTGTGTTATTGCTACTTTTACTTAAGTAAACAATCTGAATACTTCTTCCACCATTGCAATAGTCATTCAGATGCTTCTACAGCATGGTTAGAGTCCACCTGTGGCTAATTTAATTGATTAGATATAATCAGGACAGGCACACACCTGTCTGTATGGGGTCTCATAGTTGATGGTGTATGTCAGTGACAACAAAGCCATGAGGCTGAGTGAACTGTCCACTGACCTACGAGACAGGACTGTGTCAAGACACAGATCTGGGGAAGGATACAAGAACATTTCTACAGCACTGAAAGTGACCAAGAGCACAGCAGCCTCCCCCAACAGTCTTCACAGATCTGGCCGCTCAGCCAGACTGAGTAATCAGGGACAAAGAGCCTTGGTCAGACAGAACCAAAGGTCAGTTCCTTTCTGGAGATGGGGGAACCTTACAGAAGGACAACCTTCTGCACAGCACTCCACCAATCAGGCCTCTATGGTAGACTGGCCAGAAGGACGCCATTCCTCACTAAAAGGCCTATGACAGCCTGCTGGGAGTTTTGGCACCTGAGGGAGTCTCAGACCATGAAACGCAAAATCCTCTGGTCAGATGAAACTATTTGGCCACAATTCCCAATAGTGTGTGTGGAGAAAACCAGGCACTGAGCATCATTTCACTAATACCATCACTATAGTCAAACACGATGGTGGCAGCATGAGGCTGTGGGGATGGTTTTCTGCATCTGTGACTGGGAGACTAGTCAGGGGTGAGGGAAGAATGGATGCTGAAAAATATAGCGCAGTTCAGAATGAAAACCTTCTACAGTGTCTCAGAGCTTAGGTTGGGGCGAAGGTTTACATTTCAACAAGACAACAACCCAAAGCATACCATCAAAAAAACATAGGAGTGGCTTCAGGAAAACTCTGGGAAAGTCCTGGAGTGGCCCAGCCAGAGTCCATACCTGAACCCAATGGAGCATCTCTGGAGAGACCTGAAAATGGCTGTGCACCAGTGCTCCCCATCCAACCTGGTTGACCTTAAACAAGCCTACCAAGAAGAAGAAAATTCCAGAAGAAAAATATGGCAAGTTTGTAGCTTCATCCTCAAGACTTGAGGCTATCGTTGCTGCGAAATGTGCTTTAACTCATTCTCCTGCAACAGATTTTCAGTGTGCATAGGTTTTGTTTTACTAGTAACCAGGATGCATACCACTAGAGCTGATTTCATGAAATGCTACACGACAATAAGAACAGATGTACAAGAATACACGATTAACATAGACAGATACCCAAACCATGTAGCCAAATCTGTACTAACTGGTGCCACAGTCCCCCACTGAAGGGTTTGAATACTTATGTAAATGGGAAGTTTCCGTCTTTTATTTTTGATAAATTTACAAAACACTCCAAAAAAACTGTTTTCACTTTGTCATTATGGAGTACTGTCTGTAGATTGACGAGGAAAAAAGTGAACTGAATTCATTATAAGATGAGTCTGAAGCATAAGAAAATGTGGAAAACTTGAAAGGGTCTGAAAACTTTCCATACCCACTGTATGTAAATGTGGCTGTAATTCCCTTTCATTTCATGTCATTACAATGAAGCCTTAAGTGGAGAACATTATTTTCTGTGACAACTAGTCTATTAAACTGTTGTGTGTTTCCCTTCTCCTCTAGTTGGCCCGGTGATTGTGACTGTTTTCATCATTACCCTCTTCATGGCGATCATAGCCAACCTAATGTGTTGGAGTTGTGTGAGGAAGAGGTATGTCTATCACTTTAATCTCTGTCATAGTTTCATGGAAAACAACAGTCACCATAACAAACAAGTCACTATAACAGACAACATACATAATCTAAGAGTAGTGAAAGTAGTCCGTTCGAATAACCAGAACTTGATTTTCTCAGTCTCCTGCAATGGATTTTTAAGGTTTTGTTTTACTAGTAACCAGGAAACATGCCACACCATCAAATGCCACACCACAATATGAGCAGATGAACAATAAGACACATGATTAACATAGACAGAAACCTACACAATGTGGCAAAGCCTGTACTAATTGTGGTCAGAGTGCCCCATCGTTAGCTGTGGAGATACATTCATTATGACATTACCATCAAATGTGTTTGCTTTGTTTTGGCAGAAAAAGACTGTTTTTGTTGTTCCTTTAAGTCTGTAAATGCAACTTTACTGTTTCATCCATTATGAATTGTCTTCTATCTCAGGGTCAAACAGAAATGTATTTCCTGGGGACCTGCCGGGCTTGTTGAGAACCTGCCAAAACTGGGAAACAGTAATGCAATCAGACTGCTGGAGGTAATCAAAACAAGCTAATGAAGCTGACTGTATTGACATTCATGCTTCCCTTTTTTTGTGTCAGCTACTGTCACCATATTTAGTAACAACAACCGCACTGACACCAACAATAAGCACTGAATTAGAATGCCTAATGAAATTTTGAAGTATGTCAAAAACACTACACAGTTTCTAGAAGTTTCCTTGTCTGGAGTGCAGTACAAAGTGATGTACATTGTTATTCTCTGCTTGATGATGCATGTTTGTCCAACACATTTGCTATATATGTGTCACTTTGGGTGAGTCAGTCAACTCTAACTATGTTGTTTTTAATTTTGTTTTTTTGGTCTCCAGGAGGACAGAGGTGAACCATCCTTCTCATCCACTCACAGTGACCCTCCTCTGTCCCCCATCAGTCTGATCTCCTGGGAGGAGAGGAACGAGGTGTACCCCACCATTCAGGTCGAAGTTTCCCAACCTGATTTTGGACCAGCTGTGGCAGAGACACCTTTACTCACATTAGACTGTGGGACAATGCTTGTTGGCAGCCAACTGGAACATGTCAGCTACAAACCCCAGGTTGCTACTTTTGCTTTACAAGGAGAGGAGGTAAAAGAGACAGAAGAGGAGCAGAGGGACATATCAGTGAGTGGGGAGGAGGACATATGTTCAAGTGTATATGGAGGATTGCTGAGAGGTTTGCTTTCCAATGTGGAGGTGGAGTTCTCGGATTCACCCCTGGTACTGACTCTCAGCTCAGTCAACGGCCTTTTGTGGCCTAAAACAGAGGCTGTATTGAACAGAGGTGTCTTATCTGGGATGACAGGGACTGAGAATGATGTGGGAGTGGACTTTCCCTCTCTGGAGTTACAACAGGATGAAAAAATGTCTTGTGACGTGTCTCAGTATACCATTGAGAAAACATTGACTGATGCATACTTCCCTCAGGTAGCCATTGTTAGCAGCAGCACACTCTGCAACTCGCACAGGTAGCAGGGACAATGGGAAAGACAAACAGTTGGCACTGTACTGACTTTCAAAAAGCATTAAGCACCACTTGACCATGTGGTGACCTCAGTGACTGTGTGATTAGAGTAAAATCATGCCTCAGATTATCTGTAACTATAATCAGTTGTTAAAAAACTATTCAATGAGTTTGACTGAATGATAATCCAATAAAGGTGTCACAATTATTCAGTGTTGGCATCACTTATTATGAAGACATAGGGTCACCAGATGTTTTTGATTTTTAGTGACATGTCTTTACAACTATTGCCTGAATTGCCATGATATGTGATGGATATCCATGGTTCCCATAAAATATACCAATCATTTTGGTGATCCTCTCATCTTTCCCCTAGCACTGTGGTCCCCAGCCTGGGGGTTGGGACCCCAAAAAAGGTCGCGAGACAAATCTGAGGAGTCGCTAGATGATTAAGAAGAAAGCAGAAAGACAAATTTCTGTTACAGTAATTGAATTTAAATTTCCAGACTTTGCTGTAACTTTTTTCTTGTGACTTTCTAGATAATTTTACACAAGCCAGGGGTCACAAGCCAAGAAGGATAGGACATTATTTCTCAGAATGAACTGTGATCCTCTGACCTTTCAGCTTGTACCACCCTCAGGACAAAAATTTCTCCAGTACTTTGGTTTATGACTGGAAAAACCTAGGAAATATCAACTGGACTAGGTTTTTAGGTCGAAGACATTTCACCTCTCATCCAAGAGGCTTCATCAGCTCTGCCCGACTGGCGTTGAGTTGGAAATATTTATCCCCCTCGGTGGTGTTTCAGTCCTTAGATGCCCAACAATGTCCCCTAATGACTGAGACGTTATAGCCCAGTATCAGTGAGTGTCGTTACCTGTCTTTGAATCCTCCCCTGTGGACCGACGCCTATGGTCGCCTATGGTGGGCATGTTTGGGCAGAGATCTCAAAACAGGATTGTAGATGGATGACAAGTTGTGTCTTAGTCCACCACCTCTATTTAGTGAGGGGTGTTCTTTTTGGACAAAAATAGTTTCCTTGACTCCTCTCTCGAACCAGCGATGTTCTCTGGAGAGGATCTGGACTTCACTGTCCTCAAAAGAATGTCCTTTGTCTAAGATGGTGAACCTAGTAAACTTTATACCTGATAACCATCAACATGTTACATTGTCACTGTGAATATTTAGCTGACCAGCATTGCTGAGTTGCTAGCATAGTTGTAGACTCTTTTTTTTGTTTGTTTGTTTTTTTTATAATGTCCTTAATACATAAAGGATACCTGCTCCAATGGACAGTTTGAACACTTCTGGAAAAGAATTGTAAAGGATCTGGACCATGATTTTAGTTTTAGACCAAATGATTGGCAGGACAGCAGTGAACAAATGCACAGTGCACATTTATATGTTATAACTTGTTGAACCACCCACAACTCATGCCACTAATGTGTAAAAACAGCTGTCCTGTATCCACTACTGCCTGGTTCTCTTATTTTAACATTAAGGTGTGACTTCTGTATGTTTGTAATGTTAGCCACTGTGTTTTGTTAGACAGTGATGTGACACACTGTGAAATTATTCCAAAACACATCCAGATAAATGTCATGTGGGGATTTCCCTGCTACATACTGTACAGTGGTTCATGCTATAGTAATCTGCTCCTGAACCTTCAGTCCTACTCATACATGTACAACTTGCAACACTGTTTGTTAGGACTTCCTGAGTGGTGTCTCACTTCCTCCCTGATAATCACAATTTCAGGGTTTCTTTCTTTTACTGGCACACAAAGTGTAAAAAGCCTCTAGGAGCCATATTGCCTGTCATGCTTGCTGATGTTTTCGTATAACAATGTGATTATTTTTATTAATGTTATTTTTTTTATACCAAGCCTTGTCTTGTGCATGTACAGCTAAAGGTGAAATGTGATGCAGTTAAAGGGGAAGTCCCCCATTGCACCACATGGGGATATGATTAAGGGAGTGAGACATTTGGGCTGTGTGGAAAATATGATGATGAAAATTCATCTGAGAGGATGCTGTGCTGTTGCAACTAATCTGAAGGGTTTCCTCATGGTGAAAGAATATAATCATTCCTCTCATCCTTTATGAGGGAGACAGGATCTCTCAGGTGTGGTCTGCAGTGCAGTTGCTAACCACAGGGACAGTTGCTAAGAAGGAACAGTATAAAATTAAAAATAGTAATACATCAGTGTGGCTCTACAAAACTTTTTATGGAGGCAATGCAAATTCCTTGGCAAAAAATGAAGATTATAAGCCGCTTTTAGCTAAAACCTCCTTCCTCGATTGTACAGATTAATACTCTGTGATTTTGATGCACTATGTTTAGCTATACAGGCCAATAACTAATGCTCACAAAGCCTTGACGTGCTCAGTGTGGGCTCAGGCTGATGAAGTGCGACTGAAGTTGTTCAATTCACACCAGAGGCGGAGCTAAAACCGAGACAGCGCTGTCACTCTGGACACACTGCTCCAAACAAAGATGTTTAAGACGACGTACGACGGATAAAGCTTCATAAAGCTTCATAAGGCGAGTAAAGTTAATAGAAGAAAGGGCTGTGATGTGTTTGTGAGTGTACTGAGCGTTTATTTTCCGTTTCAATTACCGTAATTGCTGATTTTACACATCTGCAGTGTAGTCTTGCGCTCTACTTCTGTCCACGACTCTGTGCTTAAAATCAATAATTTATGTTAATAGACAGCATGGGGATATAATATGTGAAATAAAGAGGCAAATTCTTTAATTATTGAACGGTTTTACAAAAAACAAGCTGTCAATCTGTATCACTGACAAAAACTGAACCCCTCTAATGGACGTATGTACCTGTGCTTATTTTAAAAATAAATTAGCAGCCCCTGCTACAATGTGGAGAGAGACTCAAGAAGGCATTTACTGATGACTCATGGCGAAAATGTCCCGAACATGGTCCATCTTGACTGCCTCAACGTTGCTGGCCGTGCTGTATGGCAAAGGTAAGCTCGGACTACTGCGTCGACACACACTTCAGGCATTTTAATATGTACTTTTTTTATAATATCTGAAGAAAAAAGTTAAGACAGTGGTTACACATGAAAATAATTTCTTGAAAAACCTATAGTTATTCTGATTGTGTTTGCATGTTCTGTATGTAATTGGCTCTTATTTGTGAGCACCATAAGAGCATATTTTATCAATAATAATTGAAATATTTATATAAAATGTGCTTGTTAAATATGCATATTGCAGTCTGTATAAGTCATTACTTCTGCCTTTAGGTGAGAAATCCTGTGCCATCTGGTCAAGTGCTGGACATGTGGTGCAGAGAGGCTCCAGTTTTAAAGTCTACTGCACCTTTGACTGCAAGTGCACGGGATCCATGTTCAGTGACCATCCACCCACACGTCAGAGATACGAAAAACTGAATTCAACAACTATATATGCTAATGTGATGAATATAACAAAGAACAGAACATACAGCTGTAAGTGCAGCTGTTCTCCTTCACTGGACCCCTGTGGACTGGACATCTCAGCTGGATGTGCGTATCAAGGAACAGCATTCTTTTCTTTTGTTCAGGCACAGATTTACTGGATTTATACTCTTCTGTATCAAATGATTGCCCAAGATTGTAATAGCAGTTACCATATAGCACACAACTATGCAAATCCAACAGCTTTATTAGTGCTTAGAGCACAACATTTCCCTTCCATTTATGCCCATTCAGAACTTAAGTAAATAGACACAAAGATCCTGCAGGATGTTTTATACTGCGCAGTGTTTCAAGATGAGTCTTTCATTTTCAGTGGTTCAAGCTACAAGAGTTGTAAAAAGAGCTGGTTCTGCTTTCTCTTCTTTATTTAGAGAACATACTATTCACATGTTGCAGGCTGGGTGTCAGAGCTAACTGCAAGAAGTTGCTTATTCTGACCACAGAGCTGTGTCTAATTTAGGTGTAAAAACAGGCATGTTTCCTGACACAAACATTCTGCATTTCCTAATCTGTAATGGGCACACTATTATTAATGCATCCACTTGTTCCGAGATGGAACCTGCTCACGCAGTTTAATTGACAACACTGTTTAAGTGACAACACATTACACATTTCATGGATTACTTTCACTCATTTTCAACAGTGACTGATAACATTACATTCTAACTGGGTTTTCCTAATGTGTTGAACTTGTGCAAACAATTTATTACTGCATTTTCAAGCAATTTCAACTCCATGATTTGGTTTAATTCATTTCTTGTTTGTGCTTCAGACCCACCAGATCGGCCAAAAAACATTTCCTGCATCTACAAGCTCACAAATGATGAAAGTGGAGTTGTGTCCTGCACTTGGAAAAGAGGACGGGAAACTTATCTTAAAGACAGTTCAGTGCTGTGGTGAGTTTGAAAAAGAACTGAAGCAACTCGTAGCATAGTTTAATATGATCTTGCTTAAACGTTACAGTGAAACTTGGCTCTGTGTGTTTTAGGGTGAGAACTGTGTCTGGAGACCACACAGACGCACCGCACAGGGTCTCCAGTAAGGGAACTGTTGTGCCCAGATCTGTTCAGCTCATCTCTGTGTGGGTCCAAGCCCAAAATCTACTGGGCTCTGAAGTGTCCGCCACCATTAATTACACACTTAGCGACATTGGTAAGACCTGCATAAATTGCTGAGCTCCAGGGACTTCAGTTTGTAAAGTGCTTGCCAGCCTTTGCTTAGAGAGTGTGTTCATCACATGTAGTGACAGTTTGAAGTTGTTTGGAAGGCATGAAGTAGTGACACTAGCTTTGCAGTGAGATGTGTTTGTTTTATACTCTGAATGTTTATGGTAGTTGACAGTCACCTTCTTTCCACTAATGTAATGATACAGTGGAATGCTATCTTTTTATTACTGTTTTTATAGCAAATAAAACTTCAAAAACCTATCCTGGGTGCCCATCTTGTGACAGTTGCTCAAGACTTTTGTTTTTACTATACCTGACCACAACATTTCTGACTGTTTGTATCTGAGCAGTGATGCCATCAGCTCCTGTTCTTGGCCTAAATGAGTGCTCTTCCCGAGAGTGCACCATCAGAATGACTCAGTCTGTACGGACCCACTATCTGGAGATTCAATACAAAGCAGGAGAACAGATATGGACAACGTACCGAGACCAAGTAAGACATCTTAATTGCTTCAGAGTGGTCCAGATTTTGGCTGCTTTTAATGAGATGTTGCAAGATATTTTGCAGAGGGTTACTTAAAACCTTTGGTGCAGAGGTGAACTTGCAGTGTAACACAAATATGACCTTTAAAGCTCTATTAGGTGTTTCTACAGTGTGGACATAAATTGTATTTTACCACATGTTGGAGCATGAATGAGAGTTTAAATTGATAAAAAAAATAAATGAATTTTTGGCTTCCAGGCTGGGCAGATGAGTTCAGTTCAGGACTGGTCGAGTATCTCCTCTCTGGAGCCCTACAGGTTGTACCATTTCAGAGCCAGATCCAAATTCAGCACCGGCTTGTGGAGTGAGTGGAGCAAAAGCATTTCTGGCTGGACTCAGGAGGAGGGTAAGTCACTGAATCTGCAGCTCTAGAAGGCTGTTCAAAGAGCCTACCTTTGTGTATTGCTGCACTTACCGAATAAAAGTGATTCTAACGGGAAACAGCCAGATCTGAATATAGTATCAACAATACTGTATCTCTGTGGTACTTTATCTATGGAAACTATCGGATAGTGCAGTAATGTTTCCTTTCCTTTGGGTATTTGAGGTAGTTACTAGCTAACCACAGTCTGCCTGCATGATACAGTATCATTAAGACCACTGAGACTGATCTTAATGGGTTGTGTGTTGAGAGCAAAGCCAGCCAAATAGTGATAAGATACAATGAGATTATAATAAAATATGTTGACTCAGCTCTAGTTGAGTCTGAATGTGTACCAGCCTAACACTGGAAGAGTGAAGGAAGCTGAGGTGGTAAAGATGACAGTGATGGAAAATATTGTAAGATATTTGTAATACAGATGGTGTGAAGATAATGTAGGTTTCTAAAGATGTGCAAGGTATGAATGTGCCCCAGTGACAGATCATCAGCTTCATACAGCAGTACACAAGGTTTTTAAATAGTCTTAACGCCTATATTTGTTTTATGTAAGTATACCATAAATGAACAAGCTTAATTACATATGTTTGTCAACCATCCTCATGATGGTTGAATTTAAGCCACTAAAGTGAAAGGCATCCACTTAAGTGATAAAGCATTTGTGACCTATCGAGTCTGACCTTCCAGGCAGCTGCTGGTTACAGACCAGTACAGTATGAAAATCAACTCAGAGATCTGAAACATATTTAACAAGGCTAATCTAACACAAATGAACAAGCAGTTGTTGTTGTCCCACAGACTCCACTGCTGTATTATATAAAATTAATAATAATTGCAAAAATAATTAATTGCTTCCTTTAAATACTTTGTCCTTTGCCTTTGGATGTTTGGATATTGGAACCTAATGTGTAAAAGTGAAACCCCTTCTCTTTGCCACAAAGTGGGCTTGTGTATTTGACAAAAGGTTAAGGCTAGTTAGACTCCAGAGAGGTTTACCTGTAAAGCACCAGTACCAGCAATACAATAGACTTGCATAAGATTTAGGAGAGTTTGTACCTATTATTCAGCACTATCACCACCAATAACCATTGTGGAGTTAAGTCAAACGTTAAAAATATCAACCTCCCTGTTTCAGCTCCTGCAGAAGAGGTGGACGTGTGGTACGCTGAACCTGCATCTGATTTAAAATCACTGAGAATTTACTGGAAGGTAGGTTTGAAATCTTTTCAAAAAGTCATCCATTTTAGTTTTAAATTGCTGAATGATGCCAAAGGACACTGCTGAGCTGTTTCATCAGTTTGTAGTCTCTATGTGGTCCCAGTCTACGCTCTCACTCTTGTCAATGTGGGTGTGTGGTGTTGTAGCCATAGTAACACTTTCAGTCTTCCTGCTTTACTATTATGCTCTGCACAAATTAAAGGTCAAACCTTGACCACGTCTGAGGTATGATACACTTGCACATCCCCACCTTCTACCACACAAACACACACACACACACACACCTACATTCATTTTATGTCACATAAAGACAAGATAAGTGAAACCTGATGGCAGACACCGCAGTTTCAGTTTACAAGAAAAGAGCAGCTGAACAGAAATGATGTCTTGCATACTCATCTTGCAGTGTGTTGATTCTGAACATCCTGTGAGGTCAGCCAAATCCCAGTGCTCATGTTAAAACTCCCGCAGTGTGCCACAAAAACTTTTCTTTTCCTGAAACATAAGAAAATACTTGACTAAACATCTGATTGCAGGAGGCAAACATGTCTGTCTCTAGAGGAAAGATCTTGGGGTACAAACTCAGAGTTTACAACCCAAACTCTGGATTGGACCATGTAGCTAATGTCAGCGCGGACACCAGGAGTTATTCCATCTCATTCTGTGCCAACTGTGAAGTGACAGTGTGGGCTCGTAACTCGAAAGGCCTGTCCCCTCCTGCCAGAATTACAGCTCGTCACACAGCAGGTAACAATAACATATTAAACTGTGAACTTCATTATTAGGAATTTAGCTCGTTTTCTGAAGTTGGTGTCTGTATGATTCTCTTGTATTAAGCAGCTTTTAAGTATTTGTGTGTGCTACTGTTTTACAGCACAGTCACCTCAGGATGTGCAGTTCATGCCAGGCAACCACAGTGTCACCATCTCCTGGAGAAATCCTGAAACTGCACTGCTGCCTGCAGCATACGTGGTAGAGTGGTACCCACTGGGCTACAAGCTGGAGGAGCTCAGATGGGTCAGGCTGGGCAGGAATGACAACCGGGCTGTCATTACAGGTGGGATGCATGGAATTAAAATAAATAGAGGTGAAATAAGACAGAAAAGCAAAGACAGCTGTGTATAATTCTCTATTTTAACCATGTTAGTGTGTGAGTGATATCATTGTCTTATCTTTGTTGTTCATGCTACATTTACTCTTTTTTTCCCCTTCCATAATGTTTTTCTGTACCACTGTTCTTCTTTATGCAGGTTTAAAGACATTTGAGTGCTATGAGGTAGTACTGTATGTTTTCTATGGTGAGAGCTCAGTGAATAGGACCACATTTGCAGGTGTCACCACTCTGGAGTCAGGTAAGAGGCTTAATTTTACTATTACTTGGTCATTTACTAAACCATAATCTGTGGATAAAGCTGAATATTGCTGTTGCTATTAGTTGTGGTAGTTGCACCATAAGGATATACTGTATATTAGTAACATATTAAATTGTTTGACATATTCCTTTAATATGCACCCTGTTGAGCAGTCGTTTTGGGTTCTGTTATTGTGTGCAGCACCAGCAGCTGGTCCACTGGTCCAAGAGAAGGTTAAGGGAAACAAAGTGACAGTGACCTGGACAGAGCCTCCTAGGGGTCAACGTGGGGGTTGTATCACCAAATATACCATCTATTTAGACAGCAGCAGCGAACACCAGCAGCATTGTAAGGACAATTTTATCTGAGGTTGTTAGGAACTGTTCAAAGATTTTTATTTTTTTCAGAGAATATAGGATCGGGTGAAAATATTGTAGTGCAAAAGCATTTCTGCCCTGGTTCAGTAATTTGGTGGCTACCCCAATAATTTTTGTACAGTGCCTTATAGGAATGAAATCTGAGGTGATGATGGCATGTTGTTCATAGCGTGCACTGTATGAAAGCAGTCACACAAGACCTCTGTAGAAAATGACATCTCTCCTGTGTGTACTTGAATTTCAGATTCTGTAGCAGCATCAGAGAGGATGTATGTCACTGATGACCTCTCTCCAGGTTTCTACAGCCTGTGGATGACTGCTTCGACTGCTAAAGGAGAGGGCCCTGCGGGTCAAAAGGTCAAGTTCTTCATTCAGCGTAAGCAGCTTTTCAAGTTTCTTTAAAGTTTGAATAGTTTTTTGGAAAATAGACAATCACTTTCTTGAGGAGAGTTGGATGCAAAGTCTGCACTGTTTGCGTTCCACTAAGAGACTCCAGCATATAAACCACAAAGTCACAACTTGCAGCTTTTACACTTGAGATATAGTATTTTAGTCAGTGAGTCTTAGATGTACTGGTAGCAGATTCTGTTGGACGCAGCCCAGCTAACTCTTTCCTCCAGTTTCCAGGTAAGCTACGAAAGTTGTTGATCTTCTCATCTAACTCTGCAATACAGAGAATTTGTGTCCTAAAATATTAAACTGTTCATTTAACATTGGGTGAAACTAGTTTGCTGGTTAAATTTGTTTCACACCAACATAATCAGGGGAATGTAGTAACATTAAAACAGCAAAAACAACAAAAATCAACCACGCTTCAAGCTACTTTATGTGAGCCATACCTTTCTACCTACTTTCTTCAGACGTAGAGTTGGGTACCGAAATGCAGTGCCAATATAGCACCACTTCTTATGCAGTCAGTATCTACCAGACAGAATCAAAATGCAGATTTTTGGTGCCACTTAAATGTCTGTTGATTTGAAATATTTGTGAAATGGACGATACAGGCAACAAAAGCATCACTGCACATCATGTGCTAACACTATCATTACATTTATTCTGTGTTTCTGTTTAGTCAGAGCTGGGGATGTTTAGTTGTTTTTTTAATGTTGTCAACCTTTGTTTTATGCTTCTTTTTTTTAAAGTATCAGTTCTGGTACCTTTTAGGGACCAGCACTGGTAAAAGAAAAAACCCAAATGATACCAAACCCTATTCAGAAGTGTTGTACAAGTTCATTCTTGACTTTGGAAATAGTTTGACAAAACATTGAAGCCATGGTCCACATACTTGCATTTTCTGTAGCTTTTGACTGCACAATTTTACTCATGACAGTAAAAACTCTTGTCTTAAACAGCCATAATGTATCTGTATTGTCTAGCACAAGTTTCTTTTTTACATTGATACCTGAAGAGCCAAATGTATGTATATAATGCAATCTTGCATCTTTTCACTGTTACTGTTGCAGAGGAGACCCAACTATCCCTCTTACTAATATGTGGTGTCATCTCCCTGATCATACTGTTTCTGTTGTGTCTGTGCCAGAGTTCAGCTGTAAAGCAGAGGTAAGTCAGACAGCCACTCTGCATGAACTTTTAAGTTAAAGCAACCAGTAAGGTCAGATTTGACTTTGTGTGTTCATCTCGGCTGTTACAGAAAACTCTTGAAAATTGCCATCAAAGTAAAAATGAATCATTGTGCTGCCACAAATGTTTCTATGCTGCACTATTCAGTTTTCCCACATCCTCCCCTCAGGTTCTGGGTGTTTTTCCAGTGCCTCATGCTTGATATTGTGCCAGATCCTGCAAACAGCAAATGGGCAAAAGAGTGCACCCAGGAGAAGGTATTCAAGGAAAAGTGAATAAAAATTCAAGCTAAGCTGCAGCTCAGCGTTCTTGTTTTAAGCCTGTATCTCACTCCCAAACAGGGCAAGATAAACATCCAGCTGCAGCTCAGTAACTCCGCTGTTAATGAGGAGGAAGGAGAGCCCATCCTTGTGGATGTCGAGGAGCTGCCCAGGCTAAGTGACACCACACCTACAAATGTCTCCTCGCAGAGCCCTCTTCATACTAACCTGACCTCTGAGCCGGCACTGGGCACACTGCTCTACCCTCTGACTACATACATTAAGAGCTTCTCCCATGACTCGGACAGCTCCGACCACACACAGACATCTCTGGACACGAATACAACTGTCGAATACATCTCATCACACGGGCTGGAAATCATGGCTGAGGAGGATCAGGAGGATGAAGAGTTTGGAGAAATGCTAGGTTCCCCCCACAGTCACAATATTCTCATGGAGCCACTGGACTTTGGAGGGAAGTTGACACTGGATGCAGTCAAAATTGATTGTAGTGACTTTTTTCAGAGCAATTAGTTTTAACCTGGTGAGATGAGGTTTAGGAGATGAACACCACTAAAATAGAGACTCAACATAATGACTGGTGATGGTGGTGACAGTGACAGTGGGGGGTTTTTGGATCAACTGGGCTGTGCATTGAACTACCTCTTTGCTTACAGAAATAACACCTTAACAGCTTGTTTGCAGTAGTCTGAGCTGCTTCCATAATAACAATCTTAGCCTCAGCATGTACTTTTCTTTTCATTGGATGCATTACCTTTTTCTCTTCAGAATGGCTCTAGACACACTAAGACCACTGCCAAAATTATTTACACTTCTGCTTTCCTGCAGTATTTGAATAAGGCCTTATGACCTTTCACCATTTTGCCAATCTACTGCAACAGAAGCCAGCGGTGTTGAGATGACTTAAGTTTTGCCACGGAGTATTCCGATATGGACACACACACACACACAGCACAAAGGTGGGATAACGTGCAAAGGCAGGATAAATTAAAGTGATAATACAACAAGTGTGTCGACCATCTTTATTTACCGACAGAGGTCTCTAATAGCAGGGCTAGAATTCACACATTTGTAGAGCACTTCAGTTGTTCCACACAATGAACGACTATTTCTTTCAGAGCAATTATGCAGTGGTGCCACTGTGGAAGCTACACGGCAAGTCAACAGTGGAGGGAAATATCAGCTCACAACAGACGTGCGAAAAACAAACAGGCTGGGCTTTGCCACATTTGTGGAAGGATGCTTGGGCCAAGGTCTGATAACAAGTACAGCCACATCTCAAACATTTAGAGGCACTTCCTTTCTGTATCCCTCTGAGGTTAAAGACAAGGCATTAATTGACTTGCATGTGGTGAGTAATCAGATAAACTGGGAAGAAAGGAAGAGACCCCAAATTAATCCACTTGAGAAATGTCTCAGGAACAAATGTTAATTTAGGTGTCATCACCTTTCTGTTCCTCCAAAAGGACCTAATGTTGCTCCTTTAGAACATTTCAGTACAAAAGAACCTTAATACAGATTTAGGCACCATTTCACCAGTGCATTCAAATGTGGGCAGTATCACCTGATCCATGACCAGCGCCTGTCCTATTTGCACCTTGTGAAATACAGTCTCTGAAATAATTATGAAAATAGCTGAGATTTACAGGTTGAAGATCATAGAAGAATAGACCTCCTGTATAAAATATAAAAGAATACACCAGTGCTAATGAAAAAAATCCATAAATCTCAATGAGTGAAGCTGTAACTTCATCACAAATACTTGGTGTGGCAGAGCTTCTGAGCCGGGGCTGCAGTTCCACTGTGCCTATTTTAAAGCAAACAAGCAATGGCACACACCAAGCTAGAGTCTTAGGCTTACATTTCAAAATGCAGATTTTCAAGCAGCAATTACAAAAATGTATCAATGGACAATGCATAACCTCTGAAAAAAATACTGTATGAAAACATCCCTGCTACTTTGTTTCCAAGTACAAAACCTCTACCAATAAGCTGCTCCAGAGTAGCAAGAAGTCCCTTTTTTGTTAATTTTTTTTTTCCATCTTTGTTTTTGTTGGGTAAAACTCAGTCCTCACATTGGTGTCATAGATAATGACAGTCTTCTCCATCATTTCACTTTGCTGAAGAATCCAGGAACATGCAAGCCTCATAGTGGAGGTGCTCAGAAGGCTCCTGCAGGCCTGAGGGACAGCAGCCGGGCCTTAGGCCAGAGCCGGGAAGGCCTCTGGGTCGTCCACGTTGGGCACAGATGCAGATAACTATGTGGAAAGAAAACAAAGACTTTAAGTAGGAGTTAGAAAATCCATGCATCCGAAAATAACAGAAGAATAAAAAAAACAAAGAAGTTTACCGTCAGGCTGTGATACAAAACAAAACACCCAACATTTTAAATGCATATACCGTAATTTCCGGACTACAAGCCGCACCCACTAAATGTAAGACGAAAAAACATGTTGTACATAGCCGCAGGTGTCCACATTGTAACATGAGATATTTCGACAGCCAGATCGACTGCCTGTAACTTGAAAGCTGCATCATATGCATTTCGTCATGTGTTGTCCATGACGAGGGTGTGTGCATGAAGCGACAAAAGTAGTGGCTTATAGTCCAGAAAGTACGGTACCTGGAAGCTAATAACATGACAGAACACTGGAGCTTCTTAATTCATTTTCTACCTTATCTGGTCTTGCCCCACGGACCGTTCTAGTGGGTTCCCCACGGCCACGACTGCCCCGACCACCGCGTGGTCCACCACGTCCACGGCCTGGACGGCCCAGGTCTCCGAAGTTGATCTCCAGCTGGGACGTAATGTCATTGGCTGGCTTCCGGAAGTGGTGATCATCCTCTGCCTGCATTAGAAAAATGGGGTGAAAAGACTGTACATATACAGCATTTGCTTGTGTATGAACCGAGTTCAGATACTGTATATATGTACAACAAAAGGAGAAATTTTACCTTAGGCTCCTCCGCCTCAGGCTCAATGAGATCATCTTTCTTATCCTGTGTTGGAGAAATGCAAAATAACACAAACATTTACACTGAGCAAAATAATGTTTTATGCAAACAGCATAACCTTCCCCAATCTGTAGTTCTATCTTCCAAAAATACTGGCTGAATGTGGGTCTGGGCTCAGTGCTAAATGCAGTCAGTTTATGTATAGTCTGAGTTAAGTGCAGGCTTTAGTGTTGGTTCATTGCTAAACTAATTTTTGACATGTCAGTCTTTAAAGTATACAGTACCAACCAGTCAGTTAAATTTACACTTTCACTAGTCCTGTGATAGGAATGAAGCCTTGAAGACACGCAGTCAAGGACAGGGTTCCAGACTGTGAGCCATCAGTCACATTTTGTGATAAAATTTTTAAGATAGCACTGAGTGCGACTACAGAAAGAATGGCTGCTACAGAGTAGGGCCACCCTTGCATTCCACTTGAAGCCTCTCTCCCAGCATATCCACTCACCCACTTTATTAGGTACACCTGTACAATTGTATGCAATTTAATGCAACACCTCCACCTTAACATCTCTGTTTATGAGGCTCAAAATGTTTCAGTTTTGGTGAAATTGTCCTAAATGTATAAATTCAATAATATGTTTATTATTGAGGTCATAGTTAAAGGCGGTGTTGTACTGGACTACATTATATTTAGAGGTGTCTATGTATTTTTTTTGTCCCAGCTAAATACATCAGAGGATCAGATTATGTGTTGTGTTTACTGCCTCTGCTGAGGAAAGAAAAATCTAATTTTGCTGGTGCTGGCAACGGGCTACTATGAAAACACACTGCACTCACCAAAAGAGGGGGGAAAAAGATCTCATCTCACAATTAGTATCTAATAATTTATTAAATAATTACTTAAGAGCACCGGTTTTAGCCTACATTTGATTACATTTAAGAATATTAAAATATACAGAATTAACTATTAAGTTTATTGTTGCTATGTACTATTGGATGTACTGACAACTATCACTAAATTACATTTTAATACCAAAGAAATCTTACAAACCCAATGATTATCTGGCAAGTTCTGAAGATTTACAATTTCTTCCCTGAGTACATGCACAATGAGTGTGAGGTGCAACTCTGGCCCCATTAATTTTGGGGGTTTTTAGAACAATTAAGTACACTGAATTAATTACTAAGAATAAGTTTACCACAACCCTTCTCAGAAGTGAAAAAGACTACAAATAAATCCCACATATACATGTGCCCTGTTCTTCTGTAGAGATCATATTAATTAATTACACTGTAATATAATAATAATAATCATACTCAGTGTCATCATCACTGATTACTACTAGTGAAGAAGACATTGGCCCCAGAAGTGCACATTTATTTAGCTGCTAATTCAGACAGTGTTGAGGATTTCCTTGATTAGTAGGTTATTTTGCTGCTTTGGAAAGAAATAAAAGTAAAAAAATAACCAGCCCAAAATAATCATTACGGCTGTGTCTCGACAAGAAACTGGTGATATACCTATCACGATACAGGGGTTACGATTTGACGCATTGCGCTACTGTAAACAAGGCGATAAATTGCAATTTTTGAAAAACTCACATAATATGCAACATACCACCATGTGAATAAAATCTCCTATAAAAAAAAGTTTACTTTTTTAGGCAACCAGAACAGGGATCGGCTTTTGCATTTGTCACAGTCCCTGTAACAACAGTGCTACTTGGCATGTGAACTATTAATTAAAAATCGATACTGCATTTTTGAGAATCAAAGCAGTATCGCAAAGCGAGATAGTGATAATCAAGTGTATCAATATTTTCTTTACACCCTTAATAATAATTAAGATCTATAGTGACTGGTGCTGCTCAAATTATAATCAGGTGGTCATGTGCATGAAAATTAAGTCTAAAATTCAAAAGCTCTGTCCAAGAGCAGCCTCATGATTGACTCACATCTGCCTTGGACTTGTGCAGCACAAATCCTTTGCTCCAGTCCCCTCCAGTTCCCTCATTGGCCTTGCGGATGTTGAACTCCACCTTGGCCCGTTCCTTGTCCTGCATGGCCTTCCATTCATCCAAAGTCATCTCCTTGGGGCCTTCATCCTTCACATCCTCCACCTCATTCTCCCTTCAACAAACGCACACTGAGCGTTAGTAGCTTCAACATCACTGTCAGTTTATGTACATTTTGGAGTGTTAAAGTACTTGATGTGTTCATTTGCAGCCAGTGTTTTGGTTCAGAAATGGCTTAGGATTTATACAAGTTACAGTGTAGACTACAAAATTCTATGCTACAAGCCCCTTAATTACAAAAAAAATCAAAATGTCTTCACAACGTATTTATATTAGTCAGCACAAGATTAAAAAACAAGAACTTGCTTGTTCTCAGAATCAGCAGGTGGATGCTCCTCTCCTTCTGGGTTCTCTTCAGTGACATTTGACTGGTCAAGTTCACTGTGAAGAAAGGAAATCATGGTGAAATATCAATATTTATCATTCATCAAACTGTAATGCAGGCTACTGAGAACCAACAGACCGTTAAGAAATGTTCTTGTCCATTGTGCCCTTTGGTTTCTGAAAGTTCAGCCCTTTTTGCTGTCTACACTGTCAGTTATACACATGCATAGTGTTTGCAATGTGGCAGACTGTAGCTAGCACTAAAATACATATTAAAACAAATACATATATAATTTATGTACATTCTCAATAAAAAAAAAAAGTGTGCATGCGTTCTGTAATTCCACAATCTCCCAACATACAAGGTTTGTTACTTTGCACATACAGTAACTTACTTGAGTTCATCCTTGACTGTGCCCCAGTTGTGAGATCCACTTCCACCACGCTTCTCCTCACCTTTCAGACTACTGAAACAATATTTGCTTTAGCCAGGATCAATAAACATGCACTGCGTTAAAACACACACAGATGTCTTTAAAGGATCAGGTTTACAATAAGAATATTTAAGGACTATACAAGAACCAAACTGAAAAACTACTTACGATCGGTCACTGCCACTGTGCCTATCAAATTCACGCTTTCCTCTGGAGTCAAACCCGTCACTGCGACCCATGCCCCGTCCTCTGCCTCCACGGCCTCCTCGGCCACCTCCACCTCCACGTCCTCTCATGGGCTTGTCACCAATGGGCCTAAAGAGAGGGACAAAGATCAGTAAAATCTTCATCATTGCACCAGTCATTAGGGTTGTACTAAGATTTTCTTCAGTCGGCTTTTCATTGCAACAATCAATCTATTGATAGCGTCAGAAAATCAACTGGCATGAACTTCAATGATGATTTTGCCCTCATTAACATCAGTATTTAAATGGAAAAGAGTGGCAGGAACATATTTGAGCATTTAAAAATAAAAAAAAGACAGCTGCAATATTTAAACTGTGACCTATTTAAATTGATGATATATAATGTCAGACTACCATAAGGATTTGTCGGAATAACGAGACAGGCAGCACTCTTGTATTTCTGTTGAAACAATAATTTTAACTGCAATTTCTTCTTCTGAGACATGGTTATAGCCGAGTTCTGAATCAGCACCAGCTTTATTGGCCAGGTGTGTTGGATACACAAGGAATTTGTCTCAGTGGCTCTAAATATGTATGTGCAATGTTCTTCCATAAAGAAAGAACTCTGAGCTCTGCTCATCAGAAAACCACAGCACATGTTGTTATTGTGCATTTGAAGTGTGCCTGCTTGCACTGCTAAAGAATATACATTGCCTATAAAAAGTATTCACCCCCTTGGATGCTTTACCCTTTTGATTTCATAAATTAATCATGGGCAATATAATTTGGCTTTTTGACGACAAATAAAAAACCTTTTTAATGTCAAAGTAAAAGCAGGTTTCTACAAAGTCATGCCAATTAAATAAAAATATTTAATGGGAAATAAGTGATTGCATAAATATTCACCCCCTTCAAGTCAGTATTTAGTAGATGGACCTTTGGCTATGATCACAGCACTGAGTCTCAATCGGTCTCAATCAGGCTTGCACATCTGGACACTGCAGTTTTACTCCATTCTTCTTTGCAAAACTGCTCTGCCAGGTTGCACGGGGATTGGGTGTGAACAGCCCTTTTCAAGTCGAGCAACAAATTCTCCATTGGATTGAGCTCTAGGACTTGGCCACTCCAGAACTCTCACCTTGTTGTCTTTAAACCATTTGTGTAACTTTCGCTGTATGCTTCAGGTCATTGTCTTGTTGGAAAATTAATCTTCTCCCAAGCCGTAGTTCTCTTGCAGACTGAAGAAGATTGTCCTTCAGGATTTTCCTATATTTTGCTGCATTCATTTTACCCTCTACCTTTACAAGCCTTCCAGGGCCGAGTGCCGAGGATCCTCCCCACAGCGTGATGCTGCCACCACCGTGCTTCACAGTGGGGATGGTGTGTTTGTGGTGATGTGCAGTGTTTGGTGTCTGCCAAACATAGCGTCTTGTCTGATCACCAGAATGCACCATTTTGGTCTCATCAGACCAAAGAACCTTCTTCCACTTGACCATGGAGTCTCCCACATGCATGTTGGTGAACTCTAGTTGAGATTTAATACGAGTACAGAGGTAGAGCGGGTCTTCTCCATACCGGAAGATTAGCAGTTCGATTCCTGGCTTGTCCAGTCCAAGTGTTGAAGTGTCCTTGAGCAAGACACTGAACTAGTTGCTCCCAGTGACGACACCAGTGCATGAATGTGTGACTGCTTGGGAGTGTGAATGGCCAAATAGAATGAAAGTGCTTTGAGTATGCTGCAAATGCATAGAAAAGTGTTATACAAGTATAAGACAATTACCATTACCTCTGTTGAATTAGGTCAGACATTTTAAAGGGGGTGAATATTTATGCAATCACTTATTTCCCATTATATTATTTTTTTATTGACATTACTTTGTAGAAACCTGTTTTCATTTTGACAGGTTTTTTTTTGTCAAAAAAGCCAATTTATATTGACCATGATTGATTTATAAAAGCAATAAAAGGGTAAAACATCCAAGGGGGTGAATACTTTTTACAGGCACTGTAAACTGAAAAAAACCTAGAAAAATCAACTGGACTAGGTTTTTAGGTCTAAGATGTTTCACCTCTCATCCAAGAGGCTTCATCAGTTCTGCCCGACTGGCGTTGAGTTGGAAATATTTATCCCCCTCGGTGGTGTTTCAGTCCTTTGATGCCCAACAATGTCCCCTAACGACTGAGTCGTTATAGCCCAGTATCAGTGAGCGTCATTACCTGTCTTACCCTGTGGACCGACGCCTCTGTTTGGGCAGAGATCTCAAAAAAAAGTTGTAGATGGATGACAAGCTGTGTCTGCCAGTCAGGTAGAACTGATGAAGCCTCTTGGATGAGAGGTGAAACGTCTTCGACCTAAAAACCTAGTCCAGTTGATTTTTCTAAGTTTTTTCAGCTTACTATGATCTGGATGACTGAAAATCTGCACAGACATGGGCACTGTAAGAAAATATATTAATGATTCCTCACTGAAATTTTTCCCCAGCACATTTTTGTTAGTTTCCTAGTCCTGTTCAGAAGGATGCATGTCGAAGAAGCAGTTAGTAAACGGCTGTGCGTTACACTTTAACGGAAACGGGCAAACAAACCGGACGCACATATAGAAGACTAGCCACACTGCTGTAACTGTTAAAGTATTTTCTCTTGTAAAAGCAAACCATGTGTTTGAAAACACTTCTACTAAAATACAAATCTCACCTTTGTGTGTCTTGTCCTAGTGGACTTTGTCTTTTTCTCCTCGTTCTGGGGAGCAATTTGCTTAATAGTGTCAACGAACCTTAATACATCAGACAGTGTCACTGATAAAGTGAGTATCTGCTCTAACCACAAGGGTATGGAGCAAATGATTGCTTGGCACATCAAAGTGAGGACAAGAAGATGACAAACTAACAGTCGGTCGCGTAGAAAGGTTTCAATTGACTGACAGGTCTCTCAACTGATGATTCGACAAGTCATCTAATGGTCATCCTCATGCTTTATGTCACCGACCTTTTCAGCTGAGTTTTAAGGAACAGCAAGAGAATTGGCAGAGAATGCTAATGCCAGTACATTCATATGTTCAGCAGATGTAATTAAGGCACACTGAACAGAAAACTTGGCTTTGAACTTAGCCTAGGCAGACTGAGGTTTAGTAGTTCATATGTTTTTTTAAAATATTTCTGCTTCTTGTATCAGCTTTACACAAAGTGATGAGACAAGTGTGCTGTAGCTGTTTGGGCATTTAAACATTTAAAGCCTTATCAATGTAAGTAATGCCTCTAACAGATACTGCCCTTACCCCACCTCCTATTAAGTGACTTTAGAAAACGCCTTGTGAAGTTATTATAGTAGAAGAGTGACTCTCCACTTATTGTTTCTGTTCAAATGAAACATCTGATGGCAACTTAAACTCACTTCTCCACTGAGAATTCACCACCATCAGGCTTCTCGCCAGAGTCACTAGCAAGCCTCTCAAAGCGGCGAGGGGGCCGCCTGTCCACAGGCCGTCTGTCTGTGAGGGGGCGACCCTCTCCTTGGCTGCCCTGTGGCCTGGAGCCATCGCCCTGTGGCCTGGAGCCATCGCCCTCTGGCTTGCGGCCCATTCTCCTCATGCCAGCACCTAGAGTTAACCACAACAGGAGGATTAAAGGAGCAATAGCAATTACAGATCAAAACCCACTTGAGAGCACCAGACTAGAGAAAGGACGCAACTCTTCTGTTTAAAAGTGAATAATTCGAATTAATGTGCAAAATTAAAACTGAAATGGACCCACATATTAAACGCTCTGCAACTTCCTTATTTCTGCAGTGTAACCTAATTATTACATGCAAATAAATGAAACTTAAAGCTGCATTAACCAAGATTGCTTGGTTTTGGTTCACTTTACATGCACTACATTACACTGTACTTCATGTAGCATTTCCACTAAAAACCATGGGCTATATATTCTGTATACATTAGGACTGGAGCCAGTTATTACTGCTGCACTACCTGACTGCTACAACTGTCTCCAGCTGTCCACATATAGTTTCAGAGGGCAGGAGGTGAAGAGGAGAGTAGGGAGAAGGGGAGGGGATAGTGCTTGAGTTTGTTTTGAGTCACTTAACAGTCAAAAATTACAGGGAGAAGTTAGTTAATGCAGCTTTAAGTACACAAAATATGTTTTGAAGTAACGTAGTGCAGAAATGAGTAAAAACATTATAAAGGGCTCACGAGTATGCAGAATGCTCACTCAGTTTTGACACTGACTGAAATGTGTGCTGATCATGTAAATTTCTTGGCCCCTATGCAGTGCGAGTTGACACCTACACAATCTTTAAACCTCTGTGCCATATGACTGACTGCAACTAGCCCTGGGTAACACAACAAGTCCCACCCATTGCCTAAATCACCAGTTACCAAAATAGATGTCCTCCAGGACACAGCAGCAGCTGGGTGCATGATGGTCGACACCTGTTTTATTGTCTCTCAAGTGAGCAAAGTGAGCCTACTTGTCAGCCTAACATGATAATAATGGCTAACTATGAATGTGTGCCTCCTCCTGATGCTGGATGTCTCACTTCTGCATGGAGTAAACCTTAAGTTAGTACAAACACAATGCAACACCAAAAGGTACATTTCAGTTTAGTGATTATATGATTACTCAAACATAATGGCCATCTATGCAGATACCATCTGGTCAAACAGAAAACAGCAAGCGAACGCTCTGGAGCAGATGCCACATTAACTGAGCGTTAACAGTGCACCAATAGGAAGTGGCAGGTTGGAGGTTATGCTTTAACACGGCCCACACCAACTACAACCACGTGGTTAAATCACCATGAGAGAGCTCTGCTGCTGCTCCTGGTGTCTTAGTAACAAGCGCACTTCCAAATCGACCGCGATCAAATCAGCGTTAATTTATTTACTATACATTAACAACAAGTTATATTTAAGGGTCAGATTTTACTGAAACAGATTTTGAGAGGCCAGTATAACGCTAAACGATCTACTTTCAGCCAGTTCCAAAGTCAACAAATTTCCTTGATCAAATTCACTAAAGTTACTTGACAGAAGTTAAACATCTTTAGGCCATTTTTTCCAGTTAGCCAGATTTGCGGGTTCTGTGTGTTAAACAAGGCCGATGGGAGTGACAAGTCAAAACAAGCTGGCTTACAATGTATGGATCAATGATTCGCCGAATCCCCACTGCAGCTTGATGTAGATGTTTTTGCTACAGTGAATGACAGCCCACAGACACAAAAGCAGGCATGCGAACCTCATGTCAAGGGAGCTGTTGAACCGTCGCTAACGTTAGAAAGCAAGCGACTTAGCCTGCTAGCTAAAACGTCGTTAGCTGCAACTTGACTAAAGAAAGACGCCGAAACAGAATTTACCTTCTTTCTTAAGTGGGATGGGTGCCTGGGTTTCCTCCTTCTTATCAGCCAAGGGGGCCTTTCTGTCTTTCTGGGACTCCTTCTTCAGCTGCTTGGCAGCCTGGGCTGCAGTCTTGGCGGCACCAGAAACCGGAGCCTCCTTCTTCTTCTTTACTTCGGCCTGCTTTAACAGTTCAAACGGATCCGACTCGTCATCAAATAACTGGTCGAATCGATTGGTTATGGCACAGCCAAAACCTTCTTGCATTTGTCCGGGCATGATGGCGCCCCTTGAGCAGGATTTCCCTCCGATTCTACAAGGCTCGATGCGAGAACTTCGCTAGGTGAAGCCACAAGATGGCTGGGAAAAGGACCACCTTCTCTTCCGGTACAATAGACATCCGGGATCTCAGATTTAGCGCGGGTGGGATGTGTAGTTCCTTGACAATGACAAGCAATGGACGTAGATACAAGACAAAGCAGTGAAAAACTACACTACCCGCAACGCCAGTCTTTCCTGGTGTTGCTTGCTTCTGTAAAGACAAGCGTGGGGTGCCTTTACAAACACAGTGCTCTTGTTTTGATCTGCAGACCTTTAAACTGATTTGTATAAAACTGCCCCAGTTTTTACAACAAAAGAGGGCTTATCTGTTCAGTCATACCCGTTTTGTCCGCAATGCCACAATAGCTTTGCAAACATCTAAGGAAGACAGCAGGTGCATCTGCTAGTTAATAATGCAGTGCTAGCAGGGATGGGCGATACCCACATTTTTCTTGTCAATTCGATACCGATACATTTTTACTTCCATTAATAACATTCTAAAAACAAAACTGTCAGTATTTTCTGATATATACAGTACAAGCATATGAACCTTTACATTTGTCAACTAAATAAGATTCACATACTGTAGCTCAGTTGCAGTTTGGAGTAGTTTAATAAAATAATGATCAGTTATATTTTTAAATCACAACACATCAACTGTCACCTGTACCTGGATATTCTTGGCCTTTCATGAAACTCTCCTGCAATGTCTCCTGACGGACAGCAGGTGGTGCAGGGGACCTTAAGGCTTGCCGGTTGTCTTCATGGCGATGTTCAGCCTCTTTAAAAGTGTCAATGTGCGTTGCTAGTGTTTGCTGCTATGTGGCACCACTTTATTGTAGACGGAGCACATGGCATTACCTTTGGTCGTGGGTGGGAAAAAATAGCACCACACTACGCTTCTTTTTCTCTCTCAGCCATTCACGCTACGCTGACTGAGCTCACTCTGAGCAGCAAAGGATTGCCGCAGTGCTTAACTGAGGGCAGTGAGCCTTCGGCATCTGATTGGCTGTCATAATCATGTGACACGAAAGACCATCTAAAATACGCTCTGGCTGGTTTTCGCACATAAATGTAATACCTAAAACTCTCAGAAGTGAAAACAAATGCACTTTTGTATTAGCACTGTGGTATCGCGATACTTAAAAAAGTATCGACTCCATAATATCGACCGACGGGTATCGAAGTATCGATAACGCCCATCCCCAAGTGCTAGTGTAAACATTTCACATGTGTATGTTTTGGATATGGGGTTACCACGGCTCCCTGGAGAAATAAAACCCAATTCACAATGTGGATCTGTACAAAATAGTACAAAACATCTCCTATTTCCTAGCCACAGCCTTGATGCTGGCATAAAAAGCACAGGTTTGCAGTGTGTTTGTGGACACATTCGTTCAGCTTTGTTTTACTTCAGTAATGGCGTTTACCAGTTTGGAAAAAGTTGCAGGCTTTCACATCTGGGGCCAGTAAACTGGCTTTTGGCACTGTGGGCGCTGGATCATAAAAAAAAGTGCATTTTTACACTGGAGGCTACACACTGTCATGTTAAAAGCTGTTTTTATTGTATCAGTGTTTGTGTTCACTTCAATTATAAGTTCTCAAAAACATTTTATATAATAGAACACAATGCCCACTAATAGCTTTGATTTCGGAAGTTCAGAACAGCATATCCAAAATAGTTTGTGCTATCAAAATGTTTATCTGAATGCTTTTACTTTAACATTATACTTTTATTCTGGTATCTTATCATTTTATGCCTCAACCCAATGTGAAGCTATAAAAAAAGGCACTAAACCCAAACTTGAGTCTCATTGCTCATTGATGGTATTTTGGAAGTTGCTGGTGTTTGACCTTATAAAGTCAAACCCTGCAGCTGATGAGTTTAGTGGACAGCACTGACTTGTGCCATTTTCAGAGACAAATGGACACTTGCACTTAAGGACTGGTTAAATACTGTAAAACATGTGGGGATACAAGGGAATTAACTAAACATTTCTTTTTAACTTGTTATAAAGGAAAAGCCACTGTCCAGTGACTCAAAAGTTGAGTTAAGTGTTGGTAATTTCAATTTAGCTCAACCCTAAATGTCCGTTTTAGGTCTCAGACTACTTTGGCATTTATAAACATGAATTCTTCTGACTTGAGGTCTGTCAACTTGAAATGAGCTGAGATTCAAACCTTCAACCTTCTGGTTGGGAGACAACTACTCTACCCACTGCACCACTGTCGCCTCCCTTAACTATACGCTACATTACTATTTTGGTTCAACAATGGATATCTGACAGTGAAAGCAATTAAATACTGGATTACATACCCATAGATTATAGCCTATATATTAAATAAAGAAATCATTAATTATGCAAATATGACTGAAGACATACTTCTCCACACTTAGAAGTTAAACTTTCACTGGAACTGACTTTTATTGAAATTCTACCCACAAATATCAAGGTAGCTTTAATTCAGAATTATGTTTAAATGCAGGAGTGTCTAAGTTGTTCATTTTGTTTTTAACGTGGCTATGAAAGCAACCGTCTATCTCGCTTCACTAAAGGAGTGGTAGCCTACTGAGTTGGCCCACCCAACAAGATGATAACACTTTCCTTGACAGTCCCTCCTGTGCACACTTTGGGAACTCAAGCAATTATTATACGTGCGCATCCAATGATGACATCGCCAGTCACCAAAATCATGATAGAGTCCTATGCGCTCATGGTTTTGGTCATGGGCACATTTTTTGTGTATTTCTGTGGGATGGTGTGGGCATTTTGCAACCCGAAACTGAGCGGAGCGGAGGAGGAGTGCGGGACGGGGACACAAGCAGCAGAACACGGGGACGGCCGCTGGGGTCGCACCCCAAATCATCCAGAGCAGATCTTCGGTTGCGCCTGTGGACATCTACCGCCGGCATCGTCGTGCACCGCTGAAGGGCTCACACAGACGACTTAAGTTAACGTTTGGGATGATACTGATAGACTGCTGTCAGACTGCACTGCGTTTTGTTATGAGCATCACGGAACGGATTTAACAACCACATGGCATATAGTCCACCCTGGGCGTTGTAGGATGACGAACTGGTGACTATAACCCACCATCCATATCTGCATGTTTGTTAATCTGTTGTTCTCCTGATATCAGCCTACATTACAGAGTGGGGAAAAGCGGTGGGTGGCTACTCAGTTTTATTGTGAACTCTTTCGCAGACCATCACAACATGCATATTTTGGGCTATTTATCCTATTGCAGACTTTTTATGTCTGATACAGATCAGATGGAAGCAAATCAAACTTACTGTAAAACCTACTACATAAATGCTTATATAATCACTGTAACTTGTTTATTCCTGCTTTAATTTCAGGCCTGTGTTGTGGTGCTGTGTCAGGCAGGGGAAAGTTTTTGTTTATTTGTTTGTTTTTTAGGTCTGACAGCCAGTAGTATATACAGTCTGCTACCAAGTGACCTGAAAGACAAGAACTAAGCCCTCTCCATCCCAGGATTGTGTGATATGCATCAAGATGATCCAGGTCCTGCACAGTGAAGATGCTGCAGTGCTTTTTGTTTTTCTTTAAATTGCTTTCTTACTTCACTTTCTAGTTGCAATAATTTCTCATACAAAGCCTCTGATGTTTCCAAATCAATATCCATCTGCAAAGAGGAACAAAAGACAGAAAACTCACTACATTAATTATTTTGCAATACCATTTAAACTTCATTTTAATGAATATTCCTTGCCATACCGTACGTGGTTGGGTGTAGCTGTTGCCTAGCCCAGATGTTAAGCTGTGGTATTTGGCTCGTGGGTCCAGTGATTCAGGTTTTTGTTTAAACAACCAGAACTTTGAGAAAGAGCAGCATTACTTAATCAATTTGTGCAAACCTTTGTATAGAAATGTGAAATTTTGCTTTAACCTACCAGGGCTTCAGCACCATTATAAGGTGTCAAGGTGAAAGTATTTGTGAACACTCTTATCTGTGATAATAAAAGAAAGATACATTTGGATAAAGACAAAAAAAATTATAAATGATTTATGAATTTATAACCTTCTTACACACAAAGCAGTATTTAGACAATTAAGACTACATGGCAAAACAGGAATGAGTCAGTACTTTGTATTGTCAGAGTTGGACTCACAAGCCAAAAGACAGGCATTAGAAGGGTCCAGAGAAATGCTGGGAAGGAAGGCAGGATGCCATAGGTCAGATTGGTCATCACAAAACCAGGGCAAATCACAGAGGAGTACAAGCCCTGGAAAGCAGTATTTAACATCTTAGAAGATTACCTCATGGGTATGGGTGATACGCAGCATGTGAGATGTGTGAGAGCTGACCTGTTTGTTATAGTGTGTGTTAAGTGCCAGGCTGAGCAAGTCAGTGGCATATTTGGAGGAGCTGTAGGGTTGGGTGCCTCTCTGGTGCTGTATGTCTTCAAGGTTAAAAACTGAGCGGTTAGCATTACTAGAGGAGGTCCAGATCAGCTGTGAGGTCCGGTCAAGATGGCAAAGAAGTGGCTCCAACTCCCTGATCTGGGCCATAAAACATAAGGGAACAAGTTATTAAAGGTCAGTTTCAGTCTTAAATAATATATTTTCATAAAGCCAAGCACACACTGTACGACTTTTAATGATCATATACAATGTGTTAATTCACACTATACACATTACTTAAATCGGCCCAACCGGATGGCTAGAATACGCGGCTTCACTGCTCACACTGTATGTTCAATGAATCGGGCACAATGTGGGTGCGCACATTTAAACAGAACCCCAGAGCAGATGTGTTCATGTTCATTGACAAGTCCAGTAAAGTTTAGGTCACCCAAAAGAAAAACAGTGTTACCTTTATCAGTTTTACTTTGTGCAGCTGACGACAGTGGAAATCTGCCCTCAGTATTTCTCCTGTTGTTAGAGATCATGACGTTTTGATGACACACTGTACAGTGTGGTGCTGCCAGAGCTCAGTTAGTCTCATCCATATACAGTTTATATACAAATTATATGCAGTCTATGGCCTCATTTCAATTGATTCTGTCACAAAATGTGATACGTATCTCGTCTGTGCCATGTTGTTATGTCGTTGACTTTGTACTTACGCAAGTGCACTGAACTAACTTTGGACTGTTAATCTGCAACACAGCCGACCAGATTTCTGACATGGCAGATCGTTGGTAATTCGGATCATAAAACGGGCACCAGAACCCTGCTCACACTGTATGTCAAAATTTGGCCCAATCCTAAAAGCAGTCGGGCGCAACTGAATCAGGTGTACAATTGGGCCAGATCCATACAGTGTCTGCTCAGCTTAAGGCAGTTTTCCTACAAACACATACTGCTGCTTTGAATAAAGACAATTCTATTAAATCTATGAAAATTGATTAATTTGTTTGAAAAACAGGTGAAATTAATGAAACTTACTCTTTCAAATTCCTTAAACTGAGCAGCAAAGTTAAACTCATGCAAAACTTTACTGACTTTATTGAGTGTTTTACAAATGATATGTGCAATTTTACTTACTGTTTGAAAACCAAAAGTGTTTATATGTGTGAATACAGCAGCAAAGATGGATTTAAAAATTTCTAGAACAGGAACTTTGAGAAGGTTTCTCATTGATTGCATCCTAATACACCCCCAAATGCACAGTAAGCAGAATACTGTCCACAGTGACCTTATGGCTAGAACAGCTATCTTAATTTTTAATGAGCATTGTTACTAAGTTACAGACAGATCCGGTATAACCTATATTTATTCCATCAAGGGCAAACAGCTGACAAGAAAACAGGAGGAACTGTATACTGTATTCTTTGTGTGGAACAGATCAAAAGGCCCACTTATTCAAATACAAAACATCAGTGACTCACTAGAATGAAGTGACCAAAGAGGTTGGTTGCGAAAACTTCTTGCAGGCCATCAGGGGTGACACTGTCCTTTTGAGTCAGTATCCCCTTGCCGGTAGCAAACATGGTAATGATATCGCTGCAACACACACATTAGAGGAATGTGAGCTGTAGAATGGCAGCATGGGAAACATGCAATGTTATAATGCATGCTGGACATGTCAGAGTATAAATGGTCACCATGTGTAGTAACTATTCATTCACATGGAAGAGCTTCAGGAGTCAGGAGCCTCTAAAAGTCAACAATGTACCTGGAGAAGACACCTTTGAAAAAGGCTCTAACATCAAATTGTGGGTTTGGCATGATGCCTGCGTTCAGGTAGATGTAGTCCAGTCGGTTATACCTGCACAGATCAGTCAAAGGCACAGATTTTGTATGATTTTCTAACATACATAAAGAACCAGCAAGATAACAGTGACTATTTGAGAATGTGAATGAGCATATGATTGCCATGCAGATATGAGTGCTTCTATCCACCTGTGTTTAACCTCCTGTGCAGCACTGATGACAGAGGAGATGATGCTGGTGTCCATCTGCAGCAGAGCAACCTGAGCTGTGGGGTGAGAAGTGAGGAGGGCAGAGCGAGCAGCCTGAGCCCGACCCATGTTTCTGCAGGCCAGACACAACTGCAGACCATCTGTGTTGTGTGAGAGAAGACGCTCACAAAGCACCAGGCCAATGCCGCTGCAGGGAAACACATACTATAGTCTTACTACTATTGCTACTACAGTAACATGATTTTTAAATTTTAATTACCAAAATTTAAATTAAGCAAAATAATCTTATTTATTACACATTCATAATACATAAATAACATAGTTATGGTCCTTTGCTCATACATCACTAAACAAATCCAAGATCAAATAATGCTGGTTATAGCTAAGGTTATCCGCTTATTTCAGTTTATCGACTTCTACCTGAATTGTGGATTAGAAAAGATAGATATTATCATCCAAGACAGGTGTGTGATCTGGTAGCCAGTGACTGGACAATATATATCAACAGTCTAAACCAAGATGAGCTGGTTTCCCATCAGCTACATGCAAATGTCCAAGAAAAAGCACAGTCTGTCACCGCAGCAGAGTGAGAGCATCTGCTGGAGGGCTACAAGAAATTTAAAGATTTACTTTGTGCGCAAGGTAAATCAGCTAAAGCAGCGAAAATGTGGACGGATAAATGGCAAACAGTGGCTGGCAAATAAAATGCATAGGTATCCCAATTAAACCTTTAAAGGATAAATACTATATTTATAGTATTTTCAGCAATCTACATAATGTACAGAGACTAAAACTGACAATGAATTACCTCTTCTAATGGTTCATTTCTCTCAGCTGTCAGCCCTGGATTAGCTTGTTCATCTGTCTGATAGATCTCTCGTTGTTGTTCATAAAGGATTAAAAACACATCAGGGAAACGCACTGTTGCGTTGACTGACATTCTATTTCATAACGAAACACCAGATCTGACCATGCTGCCCCATGTGCAGCCAAAATGTCCTGAAATTAATATGAATCAGAGTCAGCTTTGTTTACATTCAGTTAACTGCTCACTCTCAGGTCTGGTGTTTCCTAATGAACAAATATGTCCCTCAGTGCAGCGGTGCACATTCCCTGATGTTAATCATTTTTGTGGTGTCTTGTATTTAGGCTACTATTCTAACAAATGCATAGACCTATTAACCATGAAGAATAATAGGCCTACTGATGTTTCAAGCACTGAGCCAATGCTATTGAGAAAAACGGTGACAATATGCTTTAGATAAATTATTTCCCTTTGTTAGGGAAAAACAGAAAATACTGTTTTTTTTGGTTTGACTGTTTGTTTTGACAAATTAAGAACAGTTGTGTAGAGGACACTTGGCCCTGTACCCGCCAGCTCGGGTGTATGGTTGAAGGTTGCTTTGGGGGATCCTCAGCAGTGGGCATGGGGGGAAAGCCAGGTCACTGTTTTCCTTCCCCCAACTAGCCTTCCATCACTTAACTGTCAAGTCTCAACCCCCCTCTTAGACAAGCTTTCCCCTCATGGCCTGGGAGTTGTTTAGGAGTGGATCACATCATGTAACAGGCCAGTTCTCACCTGTCAGGTCGAGGAAGTGGCCCCGAGCTGCATAACTCTAGTTTCAGTAGTCAAAATAATCACGTTAAACAATAAAACAGAGGAATGGTCCAATTTTATAACCATGAAGCAACAATATTGCTGTCTTGGCTGTCCCCACCCTGCTGAGCCCCTCTGGAGCTCCTGTAGTGGCACCCTCTTCTCATCTTGCTCCAGCGCCAGTGGTTTGTATATTACCAGTCCCCTCTCTAGGTTTATTATTCATTTGCTGGTTTAAATCCCCTTCCTCTTTCTTTACTCCCCCTCCCTCTTTTTTATATTAGCAGACTATAGAGTTGAACATACCCACACAACACACCTACACACACAAACCACAGTCCTCTGAGTGTTTTGTCTTAGTGTATATAATGGCTGGCTGGCTGTCTGTACAGGTGCACCTACGTAATAAAGTGGCCGATGAATGTAGGACCACCGCTTCTTAATTGCTCTAACAAATTTCCTTCGATCTAAAACAGCACCGTTTGATTAAGAACTGGTCAAGCTGGGCCAAAGAGTCCTGTCGACCTCTCTGTTTCGTTAGACTTGTGTCTTATTATCACTGCTTCCTGTTCCGACCCCGTTTAAATCCGAGAGGTATATTGTGAATAAACCTGGAGCAGGTCTGAGGTTATGGACAATTCCTACGATGTTCGAATAACAAACACAGCCGGGATCATGTGAAATCGTTAACAAACGTATCCGGCTAAATGTTATTCCATGTGAAGGACAGCATACCTCCCAGAACTCTTTAAATATTCAAAAAGATAAATAACTTATAGATATTACCTATTCGCTCCAGTCACCAAAACCACGATAGTCATCTTTTCAGATCCCAAACCAAATGTGAATGTTTAACCAAGTGTTTGCAAGAGTAAACTCTACATTTACGGTCAAGTTGTTTCAAAGTAACGAATTCTTTGAGTGTTGGAGTCATATGTTCTGTGCTGTGATTGGTCAGTAAAGCAGCTCTCAGCCAATAAGATCCTGAGACCAATCAGGTCAGCTTCACCGATCCCGCCCACTCAGTATAAAATATTTAGAACTTATGAATAAAGCCAGAGGTCTCAAAGAGATAAAATTCCTTGTTTAAATTTTAATTATATTTTATCTATCAATATACAGCTTCTGTTTACATAAAAACATTCTCACTGAAATCAAATATGTGAGTAAAAATGTAATAAAACTAAACAAATTATGACATTTGTCAGGGTGCAGTAACATTTTTACAGCTATACATCTACATCTGGTACATTTATAAGGTTGTGAAGATTGTGAATGCTTCACAAATATGCAAATTTGTCTCCAGACCAAATGTCACGTTTAACTTGTGCAGAGGTTTTGCCTACATGATGTCTCCATTACAGCAGACATGAGTGTTTTTAAGTGAAAATGTGAGACAAAGGCCTCTGATAATAGGGCTGTAAATTCAGCTTGTATGCAGTATAAAGTCCAAGCAATTAGTTATACACAGAGTTATGCTAGAAGAGTAGAAGAAAAGATGAAAGAATCCAGCATACGTTAATAAAAGAAAAAAGAAAATCCTTTTCGTGTGAATGTGATCTGTAGCAGTTCCTTCATTCCAGTTAAACACATAATTTAGCCTGAATATTCCCGGGCCCTCTGCATACAATTTTCACTTAAAAGACTGCTTACTTTCTCTTTAACATGCTCAACACCCACAACACCCTTGACAACATCTTTTCAATGATGCAGAGTGTAAACATACTGTCATACCAACGTAGGAAAAGATTTTACAGCTTGCAACAGATAAAACCAACCATATTCTGAACCAGTTTGTTTGGTGTGTAAATCAAAATACTGGCTGAGAAAACAACTGAATCAAATTAAATATGAAATTCCAAATGAGTACATTAATACCCAAATATGTCAACAGACAGAACACAATCTGACAAACACATATGATCATATAAATATGAAATACAAAATATTGATATTTGAGATTTAGACATATCTATTGAATACACAGTCATATACTACACATCATGTTCAAATCACTGTAGGAAAACTGCAGTGAGATGAAAAAGACTGAGTTAATAGATGTTCTTTAAAATTTGTGGAGAAACTGACACTTGAAATATAATGCAATGTAACAGTAATAGCTAGCTGCACTTTTCCTTCTACATTCAAGCAGTATTCCAAAAGAAAACATAAAATAGTTCTTCAACATTTCATAAACTTGCTATGAAACACTGTAACATGGGCAATTTGAACTCATATTTTAAAATTAAATTAAAATACATTTTCAAAAGTGCCAAATGTCACTTGCTACATTTAATTTAGACTTTCTCAACACATCATAACCAAACCTTATGGTAATCATGTGTGTTTCCTTGTGTGTGTTGTAGGGGAGTAGATGTTTATACCTGCATGTCTATCAAATATCTTAGCCAGTATGACTCTGCTAATTAAACTGACACATACAAAATGTCTCTGGCAGCCCATCTTTGTAGTGTGTTAAATCCATGAAACAGTGTTTCCTAAATTGTAGCTTGGAGCCTACATGCTCTCTCTCTCACCCTGTTTCTCTACTGAAACAGCTTAAACCTGGATCAGGCAAACTGGAAATCATTCTCTTAAACATGTCCCCAGATTAAGGCTGTATGTAGGGCTTGGTGTATTTCCTGAAAGGAGGGCCGTTCCTTTGTGTTCCTCCTCCAGCAGCTCAGCATGATTTTGTATAGAGAGTCTGGACACAGCACAGGCTGAGGCAAGTAGATCTACAGGACAAGGACCAAGAAGTTAAGCCAGAGATTGACCTGTGTTTCAAAGTCTGAAATGTGCATGTAAAAGCACCCACCTGTCTTTTCTGGTCCCTGAAAAACTCTCCCGTGTTCTCTATCACCTGTTCATCAGTCAGCTGAGAGTAAGGCTGCTCTTTACAAAAGTTTAATATCTCCCACAGGGTCACCCCGAAGGCCCACACATCACTGGCTGTAGTGAACTTACCCTGCACAACAAACAATGGCATAAATAGTGATTAGTTTTTATACATTAGCTGGAAATATATGTAAATATATATCCAGCAAATACACACCGAAACACAAGGGAGGCTCAAAACATGACCATTGACTTGTCAGGATGTTCTTTTTAATACAAGTAGTAGTTCTCACCAGCAGGATGCTTTCCCACGACATCCAGCGTATAGGCAGTACCGCTCTGCCCTGGATGCGGTAGTAGTCGCCACTGTACAGGTTTCTGCTCATGCCAAAGTCAGCTATCTTTATTGTGAAGTTTTTGCCCACCAGGCAATTTCGCGTGGCCAAGTCTCGATGAACAAAGTTAAGCGAGGAGAGGTACTTCATCCCTGAAGCTATCTGGGTGGCTATGTAGCATTGATTATTAAAACTGGAAAGGAAATAGAAGAGATGATGTCATAGGCTGAGAAGGAATAGACAAACATGGAAATGTATATCAGTCACTTACTCACCTGACAGTAGATGCATTGCTGAGCAGAGCAAGTTGTCCCTCTGGTTCATGACGGGACAGAAACTGGTTGAGATCTCCATTCTCCATGTACTCTGTGATCATACAAAGAGGGTCACTGTGGATGCACACAGCTAGCAGGCGAATGATGTTAGGATCCTTCAGACGTGACATGATCTTTATCTCTTTCAGGAAGTCATTCCTACCAGAACAAAAACATAGGCACAACAACAGTGACTTACTTTACACGAAAAAACTCCATTTTTATTAACGTCATATTAACAGTTCAAGATTTATTTTCAAGTTACAGATTACAAGAGGCACTCCAAGTTGCTACCTTGCATTTTTGTTGGCATCTGAACGGAGCATCTTCACAGCCACTAAAACTGGCTGGCCCTCAGAGATGTCAAATAAAACCTCTTTATTCATGAACTCATGCATTCCCTCTGCTTCACACAGGTGCACCTGAAAATAGAAAGTTACATAAGCCACAACTTGGCTTTTGCTTTCAGCTCCTCTAAATCTGTAATTAAAGCTGCTGAAGACTGACACAAAGCACACACCTCTCCAAACTGGCCCTCCCCCAGCTTCTCTTTGAATGTGAGCAGTTTTCGCGGGAACTCCTCCATTGTGACATCCTTCCCCGACAGCAGGTCCATAGTCACTGCAGGGATGGCGTATGTGTTGCTTCCAGTCACACCTTGCAGGTTGACAATTTCAGCCTCTGCATAGTGAGGGACTCCATCTTGGACTACAGTAGTTGTGGTGGATTTGGAAGCTGCTGTGCTGGTAGAAGCTGGAACACAACACAGCATTATAATTAGGAATCTCATTAAATGAATGGGCATGTTTACTATGTATATTAATATATATAGAGAGATGTCTATATGAAAGTAGATGTGTTTTCACCTACCAAGCTCCTCTGAGTTCTGTGCAAACTCAGGCAGTTTACATATGAGGTGGGAGGGCTCCTGGTAGTCGGGACCAAGGGGGAAGATGTGGTCATAGGTGGCATTAGACTCCTGCTCGCTGGTTGTACTCGACTGGTTGTGGTTGTAGGCAAACGTCTCACTCTGTATTGACAAACTAGCAGTTAGTTCATCATCCAGTATCCGACGAGATGCCTAGAATAAAGTATGTGGGGGTGAAAGAGCAGAACTGATAACCTCCCAAAGAAAATCCCCAGAATCTTAATGGAAATGCACAAAATCACTTAACATGCCTTGGCTGGTGTCAGATTGATCCATTTAATTTAATACATCAGTGATGAGCTCACCTTCTCCAGCACCTTCTGCCACACCTGCCTCCACAAGATGAGGACAATGATGGCCACAAGGATGAAGATGATGGCCACCAAACAACCAATCAGTAGTCGGGTGTTGCTGTCATCTATTTTGTGGGTGGGGTCATCTTCTAGAGAGGAAACAGGGAAAGATGGATTTGAATGATGAAAACAGTAGTCCTGATATTCGAGCATTTGCTCATCCGAATACTAGACTGAATTATAATTTTTACTCGTTAAAAGTAAACCGATATTTGTGAAAATGTTGCAAAGCCAGAAAATATTTTTCTCACAGGCAGATCATTTGATTTGCCTCACAGGTATATCTTTAATCACAGTTAGATTACATTCAGGTATGATGGCTGAATTCCATTTAGCAGCTTGAGTTTGGGTCCCTATGCATGCTAATGCATGTCACCCTGTCATGACCTACAAAGACACAAAGGTATCACTAATGTTATTTGAAACACCTGTGCTTTTTTCTACGATGACAAATCATAAGGCCTTTCCCGTACAACATCTAATTCTGTGTAGTATGTCATGATTTTGGTGTACTGTTTTAACAGTTAGTGTACAAAAAAATCAACATACTTTAACAGGAACTGATGCAATTTCAGCAAAGTCGGATGTCAAACAAACGGCACTAAAACTTCACAAAAAGGCAGTAAAATAGGTTCTTAAGATTTAATATTTTGTTTTTGTTTACCAAGATTTTATTGTAGCTGGTAAGACAGTATTCACAATTTATTTAAGATTTTCTGGCACATAAAAAAATGACAATATTTTATATGCCCTCTTTATCCTTTGATGGTTTAGAGAAAAGGCTGTGTTTTTTGCATGTAATACAGTTTGTGTGTTTTGAATATTTTTGTACTTAGAATCTTTGTATAATGTTCATACGAAGGTATTGGTTTGACAGACAGTATGCCATATTGTCAGCTGTCAAACATGATGCAAAATTTGTAATTGTGTTTATGTGTGTTTATTGTAGTCACTGACCTGGTTGTGTGTTAGCTGGTAATCCCGTTTTGGGTTGAGTCGGTGTTGTGTTGTACATTGCTGTATCTGAAAGGGCAGATGGTTCAGATGTGATCAGAAATGAACTAAATTCATCATAATCAAAATTTACATATAATTTTTCTTAACGGTTTACAAATACTTTTCTTTAAAAAGTGTTAACTTCAGTATATAAGACTGTCAAACTAGCAAGGAGCATCTTACTCCATTTACAGATTGTACATACACTTCTTCAGTTTATACCTGACTGGAAGGTAATTTCACTAAACAGCATCCAAGCATCAGCAAAGTAGAACTGGCACTTGATGGCACTGGCCATGTGGTTGGCCAGGTTGACAGTAACAAAGCGAGCGCTGGGATTCGTCTCGCCCACCACTGGGCTGAAGGAGAGCGGCAGAGCCTCCCAGTTTGTCTCAGAGCGGAAATAACACACCACTTGGCGGAAGGCCTTGACGTGCAAGGAGAACATGTTGTTGCAGTGGACCTGGATACAGGACAGGTTGGGAGACTTTTAGTATGTATGGGAGACACTGACCTCTAGTGGGAAAAGAGGTGCTTGTATTATTAGTCTCACCTTCATGGTGGTAAAGTTTCGTGTGCGGTCAAACTCAAACATGATCTCCACATATCCGCTGGGGAAGCTCTCATTGTTCCAGCCCACATAGTCGTACCCTGGCCATACATTGTAAACATGACTGTGTGTAAAATCATCCAGACCACACACTCCATCAGTCAGCTGGCCCAAGCCCTCTGTCATACTGAAAAACAAAACAACACCGTAAAAAAGACAACAATACAGAGGAATATCCTGTCAACATCTTTTGTTTTTAAAGTGTCATCACCTTTGGCAAAATGTTTTTAAAGGTACAACCATTCAACACTAGGTGGCAGCATTACAACATCAATGTCTCCTACTGTTGGCTGTGATATTGTAATATGGGACATTTTCCTTTCCATCTGCACTGCTTCCTTGATAGAGAATAGGACGTCTGTCTCTATCTTGGACGACATTATTCGCCAGGCCATTATCCAAATACAAGTGACAATAAAAGACTGTTTGGTTTGTTCCAGTTTTGAAACTTTGCAAGCATGGTTGACTCAGTAATTCCCAGGATGTATTACCTAACAGTGAACCACCATAACCCACGCACCACCATTTGCTTTCACCATGATGACCATGCAACAACATGGGGAAAAGTACTGATGAATGATGAGAGCAGTGATGAAGCAGTGCAGTGGTATGTGAGGATGGTGACGACGGAAAAGTGAAACACACACAAAAACACACCTACCTGTAGATGATGGCACCATCATAGACAGAGTCATTGAGATAAACAGGGTAAGAGGGCAAAGTCATCTGTTCTCCTGCTGGAGCGTTGTATGACACAAGACCATCTGTAAAGTAAGATAAGATAAATTAGCCTCTGTAACTTTATGAACTTTTTCATGAACCCATCATTTTAAATTCCTGATTGTGTACAAAAGCATAGATGGGATCTTGTGAATAAAACATCAACATATTGTTTAGACAATTTTATTTTGCTTAAAGAGCTATGAAGTCTGCTTGACAAACATTATGGCATACTGGATTTTCTGAAAAAATGTTCTTTGTAATCAAACTATCTTCCTAACCTACACAGCTAGGGAAACTTTCTGAAACCATCTGGCCAGCCTTAAATTTAAGGTCTACTTGGTGCATGGCATATAAACATAAGCTTTTGCACAAAAGCACAAGAACCCAAAATACCAAAAGCAGCAAGACCTCACTTTATCACCCATCAGTCCTTACATACCCTATTTTTCTTCCACAACAGCCACCACTTACCCAGCCATTCACAGCCGTAGAGTTCTACTCTCATGCAGACATTCATGGAGTGGTCTGTGACCGGCATGAAGCGGACATAGCGAGCAATGATGGGTGGCTCGAGGTCCTTGAGTACAATGTCATATGCATTTCTGTTTCCTTCAATCACCTACAAACAAACACACCTTGACATTATGATGATGCTCACTAATGGTTGAAACTATTGTTTCTAATGTGTATGATAACATAGCCTTTTCATGTCATTTTTAGATGAATTAATACATTTATTACACAGACTCTGTTATTGCTGTCAGTATCACTAAGATGTATCAGGTAAAAGCATTGATGGGCCATAAAAATATGACCCAAAGACAGTGTATTAAGGTCAAACACATGGATTACATCCCAGGCAGTGTGGAGCACTGATTGATAGGATGACTTGCCTGCTTGCCCTGCCTGCTTCTCCAGGAGATCCAACGGCTTCCATCACGACTGTACTTAATCTTGTACATTTGGGCGAACTCATTACCAATACCTCCTGCGTGTCGACCCTGGGTGCCCACAAGAGTGATGAAGTGGAGCGAGCGAAGATCAATCTGGAGGAACTCCTTCAGGTTGTCTGGCTCAACTGTTATCTCCGGACACCACGCGCCATCGCCCTCCTCAAAGTCCAACCTGGGGAGAGAAGGCGTGTGGAAAATGTTAAAATCACAGCAGCAAAGGGAAACGAGTACTAGAGATGAAAAATTAGGACAGGATGGAAAGGGAAAGGTGAGTGTGCTGGTGAATAGCAGTTCTTACAGCCTGTTTAGAAAAACACCTTGGTGAAATCCTTTGTTGTAAATTTACTTTAAAGTGTTAATTTTGGGTAAGGGGCTGGCAGGGGAGAGGGGGAGCTGGATTAGACTGAAAATACTGTAAAATTGTATTACATCATTACAACGTGCTTCTTATTGAAGGCCATCCAAGTAGTGCTACACACATATGCACACCTTATTGATCATGTAGCTGTAAGTACAGCTGATACTCCAGTTTGTTGTTTACTGCAAATAAACAGTGTCGGCAAGCCTGTAAAAATGGGTCCCGGAGAGAACCAAAAAGCACAAGAAACACAAGCCATAACAGCAAAACTGGCCTCTGATGATCTGGAGTCATTTACAAGAAGAGCTGCAGGAGGCTATTGAACAAATTGTATCTTTTCAGTTATAATTCCCACAAGAACAACAAGAATGTTTATAAGAAACAGCAAGAGGAGCTGCACAGGAATAATTAAAATGCTATGGCAAAATGCATAAAGTAGAAAGTTAAGATATTTAGCAAGTAAGGATAATCATAAGATGATTTATGTGTGTGTTTGTTTGAAATGATCATTAGTGAATGTGTAAGAATAAAATGAGAAAGGATTGTAGTGAAAAAGGTACATTTAGAAGTCTAAAGTACATTCAGAATTTAAATCATAAAAAGTGGAAATGCTGAATGGTTATTTCAGACAAAATGTAGCACTTCCTCAAAGAGCCAGAGTGTACTGGTTTATAAAAATTTCTCAGTACAGTAACATCTGAGGGTATAAGGAGGTAGCTGCCTATAACTGCAGGTTGTTGTTATTTGGGAGGTTTTGGGGTCTTATCCTGAATGAATAACATGAAAGAGGGAGGTCTGCAGGGAACTCTGTTCATGGTAGTCAATTACTGAGTGAATATATCTCTGCCAAAAAACCTCAAGCAGTGTTTGGAGCTTTAATATGTTTCAAATATGCCACCTTAGTGTGAGAGGTTAAGCTTCATTCCTATGTCCAGGGGTTAGCATATCGTGACCTTCATACAACAGGCACAGGACACCCCCCCGTACTAATTATCAGTATAAACATACTGTGAAGTATATGTGTCCGTGTCTGTGTGTGTGAGATGCCTACCTGCCATATCTAGCAGCAGTGGATTCAGACCACTGGCTGGAAGCAGAGATGTCCTCGTCCTGTATCTGCCCTCCTGACATGCCCAGAGGATACCGACACACACCTGCGACACAACAACATATTTCAATAAAAGGAGTAAACAGGTAAGAAGAAGGTCAGTGAAAAACCCCTAACCCAATTGGTGGCCTGATACTTGCTATGCAATAAACACTATGTACCAAAACAGGAAAGTGACTAAAAGTTATGACAATAAAGAGTAGCTTTTTTGTTTACTAGAACCTTTTGAAGTACATTCTTAACACAGTCCAGTTTTGATTATACAGCACTTGGAAAATGTGACACATGAGAAAATATGACATTTCTGTTCAGTTCCACTGTTGTTTTGTCATAAAAAAAAATTAATAAAAAATGTAAGTAAGAACTGGCCATCACTTTGGTGTGTATCTCTAGATTTGGCATGGACCAGTTGGCAAGTTGGACCAGTGGTAGTACCTAAGCACATACTCAAGCACCGTATTTGTATGTTACTTGAGTGATATAACTTCATCTTTCTTAATATTGCTACACCATTTCATTTTTTACTCAACTGCATTTATACGATATACAGTATATGTATAAACAGTAAATTAAACCATCCAACTACAGATTAATGCATCACAGTAAGTCAGTAATATGATAATAATAAAATATAACACTGACAGGGAGCAATTTGCCCTCATAATGAATGCTTTATATTTTAGGTGCATTTTACTGTTACTTTCATATACAGTAAAACCTTGGATTGTGAGTAATCTGGTCTACGGGTGTTTTGCAAAATTTTCTTAGAAATTTTAACTTGATAAATGAGCAAGGTCTTGCAATACGAGTAGTACGTATGCTTTGTCTGTCGAGCATCAAGTCACAAGCCGATGGTTCTCGCGCCTCACTCGTATAGTCAACGTCTGTACTGCAACAATGGCCCCGATGAAGAAAAAATAAATGTTGAAAAGAAAGGCGATATGAAAAAGGAGATGATTATGGTTGAAAAGGAAATCATCGAGAAGCATGAACCAGGTATGCAAGTGGCTGACATTGCAAAATGTTATAAGGCAGATGTGTAAAATCTGCCAAATCCTCAAAAAGAGGCAAAAGCAAGTGTCACTGGACAGGTTCCTTGTTAAAATCACACAAAAAGAAAAAGATTTCAGCGAGCCAACAGATAGCTCCTCTCTCTGTCTCCCTCACACCAGCCATGATTCTTTTCAAAGGTAAAGCGCAGGTTAATTTGTTTTATTTTATTTTATACTGTATTTTGTATTACTGTTATCATTTTTGCATGAATAAGTGGTTGTGAAACGAATCAGCTGAGTTTCCATTATTTCTTATGGGGAATTTTGCTTTGATATACGAGTGCTTTGGATTACAAACACATTGCCGGAATGAATTATATTCGCAATTCAAGGTTTTACTGTACTTATACAGCCCGTTTTAACTTGAATAATATTTTGAATACAACACTTAACTAGCTACTTGCAAGTGACTTCAACATATTGACACTGTTGTAGACCTATTGCTACTTTTAATTGAAGGAATGCTTTGAGCTTTTTTGGAAATACCCTTTTTTTTTTGTCAACAATGGACCAGTCACTCTGGAGATTTATACAGTACTGCTTCCATGTCAGTATACTAATGTTGTCAATGCTACCCTAGCATTGAAACTGCAAGTGGGGAAAAACAGCTTGCTCTGGTCCAAGGTAGAGACCCATTTACCAACATCTCTAATTAACATATTATAGGCTGTCTAGTTTATTTATTATTTACTAATCTAAAGTGTAAAATGTCAAGATGTGGTTTTCTTGGTCAGACAAAGTGTCTTCCATGAGTCTCATCACCATGAGGTTGCCTGGCTGAGAATTCTTGCTACATGAATGCTAAATTAAGATAACTATGTCCTTGCTGAGACTTTGAACAGTCATGGCATTAGTATCAGTCTTCTACCCTGCAAGCACAGCAGTATATTTCCCAAAATCTCAAATGCTTTTTCTTCCACTACAGCCTGTTGATCTAGTATATTCATACTGAAACATTTGTTGTCAGGATCCTTAACATTAGCACTAACAGTTACTTCATGGAGCAAAGTACTAGTAAGTGCTAATGCTACTTCAAAACGTTTTCACTTGAGTAGTTTTTAGTGAGAGTCCTCTTACTTCTATTTGACAAATGATCAAGTTTATAACAATGCTTCCATTTAAAAAAGATAATCTAGTAGTCTATCCACCTCTGGTGTTTACCAGGGTGATCACATTGTGAAACATACAGCTTTCTTCTTTCAACCGCAGTGCTGTTGGCGTTGAAAATTCAAAACCATACTCAAACATTCATTCAGTCGGTCTCAGACATTTCTAAGACAGAAGTACTTGACTCCCAGCTCCTGTCAGGAAACCTAAGAAATGTGATGGATATTGCTGGGTAAAAGGGAAGAGAGGGGTGGGGTAGGGTAAGAGGACTCCACACACACACACACACACACACACACACACACACACACACACAGCAGCTATACACTCCTTGCACAAAATATTGTGGTTGCCCTATTGAAATAATAAGCTGGGTCCATTTATTGTCTCTGCCAATCCAAACAGTGCTGGTATCGAGCACATGTACAGGAGTTAGCTGTGTGGTAAAACTGGCTGGTTCAAGCCCATCACGCCCCCACTCTGCGGTCAATGGAAGCAATATGCCCTCTGTTTCCTGTGTGCCCTCCACCCACTCATCCTGGTTTTTTTCTGTCTCCTCTCTGTCTCTCCTCATGTGTGGTCTCTCCCCTCCCTCTTTTCTTCTGCTCCTTTCAGTGGTGAGAGGTGATTAACATTAACAATGCAGCTTAGAAAATTTTCATCTCATTAAGACTGGTGGCCAAGTGAGTGTGAGGCAACCAACATGGTATCTGCTGAATGAATTTAGTGATTTTTGGGTGGTTCAATGTGGACTAAATAAAATGGCACTTGACCCTGTTAGCCAGGCCCCTTGTCCACAGAAAAACCTTTGATAAAATGCCAGTAACAGCAAACCCTGAGGTTCAAGCGATTCTCTGTCCCCCTCTTGCTTTCTTTCCTTTTTTTCTCTCTCCCTGTGATTCTATCTTCCTCTTTTCCTGATCTCCTTCAAATATTTGCTTAAAAATCAAGATGTTTGAAAGCCTGGGACTGGAACTGATACACCACTTACATACTCCAGACACAAAAACGAAGAGTAAACACAACCACACACACACTCGTGCAGACTTCATCTTGGCAGTGACACAGTGACAGCTTGAAGGAGGTACAAACATAAACTCTTCCAAATGTCTGTGTTTGCCTCCTCTGCCCTCCTTTCATCTTGTCCTCTCTAACCCTTGTTCCATGCTGCCCACTCTTTAAACTCCTCTCCCACACTCAACTCTTATTCCTTTCTTTGCACCAGATTGCCTTGGCTGTAAGGAGACCACATCAACTGAAAACTGTCTAACTCTTCTCATATTCTCCATATAGTAGCCATATGAGTGGCCACATAATTAGAAAACCATTTCAGTGCTCAAACTACTCATATAATAGCTGTAGTAAAACACAAATTGCTTAAAGAGAAACAGCCAATAAACAATTTGAGTTCAAATCAGTCCAGGATAAGATGACAAAGGGTGTTAGTGTTTGAAAATAAAGTGGAATGATAATTACTGGCATTGAGCTGAAATGTTGTTCTTGTGTTGCAGTATTGGAGGCTAGTCCAGCTAGAGGTTCCATTCCAACTTTATTTATAAAGCACTAAAAACAACCAAAGTGGACCAAAGTACTGTATACAAGTCTACACACCCCTGTTAAAATGCCAGGTTTCTGTGATGTAAAAAAACAAGACCAAGATAAATAATTCCAGAACTTTAGCCACCTTTAATGTGACCTATAACTTGTACAACTCAATTGAAAACAAACTGAAATCTGTTTTTCAGTGGGAAGTAAAAATAAAAAACTAAAATAATGTGGTTGCATTAGTGTGCACACCCTTAAACTAATATTTTGTTGAAGCACCTTTTGATTTTATTACAGCACTCAGTCTTTTTGGGTATGAGTTTATCAGCAATGCACATCTTGACTCTGCAATATTTGCCCACTCTTCTTTGCAAAAACGCTCCAAATCTGTCAGATTGTGAGGGCATCTCCTATGAACAGCCCTCTTCAGATCACCCCACAGATGTTCAATCGGATTCAAGTCCGGGCTCTGGCTGGGCCATTCTAAGACTTTTATCTTGTTCTGGTTAAGCCATTCCTTTGTTGATTTGGATGTATGCTTGGGGTCATTGTCGTGCTGAAAGATGAAGTTCCTCTTCATCTTCAGCTTTCTAGCAGAAGCCTGAAGGTTTTGTGCCAATATTGACTGGTATGTGGAACTGTTCATAATTCCCTCCACCTTGACTAAGGCCCCAGTTCCAGCTGAAGAAAAACAACCCCAAAGCATGATGCTGCCACCACCATGCTTCACTGTGGGTATGGTGTTCTTTTGGTGATGTGCAGTGTTGTTTTTGTGCCAAACATACCTTTTGGAATTATGGCCAGATTCTTGGTTTCATTAGACCATAGCACCTTTTCCCACATGCCTTTGGGAGACTTCAAATGTGTGTTTGCAAAATGTAACCGGGCATGGATATTTTTCTTTGTAAGAAAAGGCTTCTGTCTTGCCACTCTACCCCATAGCCCAGACAAATGAAGAATACGGGAGATTGTCGTCACATGTACTACACAACCAGTACTTGCCAGGAAATCCTGCAGCTCCTTTAATGTTGCTGTAGGCCTCTTGGCAGCCTCCCTGACCAGTTTTCTCCTTGTCTTTTCATCAATTTTGGAGGGACGTCCAGCTCTTGGTAATGTCATATTTTCTCCACTTGATGATGACTGACTTCACTGTGTTCCATGGTATATCTAATGCCTTGGAAATTCTTTTGTACCCTTCTCCTGACTGATACCTTTTAACAATGAGATCCCTCTGATGCTTTGGAAGTTCTCTGCGGACCATGGCTTTTGCTGTAGGATGCGACTAGGAAAACGTCAGGAATAGCCTACTGGAACAGCTGAACTTTATATGGGGTTAATCAGAGGGACTTTAATTGATGGCAGGTGTACTGACTCCTATTTAACATGAGTTTGAATGTGACTGCCTCATTCTGACAACAGTCACAGCCCCACAGTAAGAGGGTGTGCACACTAATGCAACCACATTATTTTAGTTTTTTATTTTTACTTCCCACTGAAAAACAGATTTCAGTTTGTTTTCAATTGAGTTGTACAAGTTATAGGTCACATTAAAGGTGGCTAAAGTTCTGGAATTATTTAACTTGGTCTTGTTTTTTTACATCACAGAAACCTGGCATTTTAACAGGGGTGTGTAGACTTTTTATATCCTCTGTAAATAACAACATACAATAAAGATAAACATAACATACAAGTACATATATAATCAACACCAATATAAAATATCAAAAAGCCAATGAAAAAAGATGAGTTTTCAAAAGGGACTTAAAAACAGACAAAGAAGAAGCTTGTCTAATGGACAGCGGTAGATCATTCCACAATTTGGGAGCAGCAGCTGCAAAAGCACGATCACCTCTAAACTTATACTTTGCTCTGGGCACACTCAAAAGAAACTGAATAACTGACCTCAAAGAACGTGTAGGTGTATACCAGTGAAGCAAATCAGATAAATAAGAAGGTGCAAAGCCATGAAGGGATTTAAAAACAAATAACAAAATTTTATAGTGGATCCTAAAATAAACAAGTAACTAATGCAAGGAAGCCAAAACTGGAGAAATGTACTCATATTTACTCATACTAGTTAAAAGTTGTGCTGCAGCATGTGGACCATCTGGAGGCAAGTAATAGGAGACTCACTAATCCCCAGATATAATCCATTGCAATAATACAACTGGGTAGTGATAAATGCATGAATAAGGGTCTCAAAGTGTCGTCTAGAAACCACTGACTTTACTTTGTCCAACTGCCTTAGGTGAAAAAAAACTAGATTTTACAACAGCCGCAACTTGGCAATCAGCTTTAAGGTCGGGGTCCATCTTAACCCCCAGATTTGAGATATTGTTTTTGTTATACTGAGCTAAAAAGCCCAAGTCAATGGAGGGAGACCCAGCAGTATCACCAAAGACCATCACCTCTGTCTTCTCTTCATTCAACTTCAAAAAATTAAGTGCAAGCCAAGATTTTATGTCCTCAAAACACTGAAGTAGTGGCCTAACACAACACGCGTTTGTCTTTTTAACAGGTAAATAAAGCTGGCTATCATCTGCATAGCAATGAAGGGAGATGCCATGTTTCCTAAGTATAGAGCCGAGTGGGAGGAGATAAAGAGAAAAAAGAAGGGGTCCAAGTGGACTGAGTTAGTTGGCCTCCTTGCACACATAACAGCCAGCAGAGCCTTGCTCACACAGAGGTGAAGAGTGTACACAGACAGTGAGACAGAGAAAAAGATGAGCACAGTGCAGCATCTCCTTTTTAATTCCAGTTACCTCCACACCAGGATGAACCACTGTCAAACAGGCAATAGTTCAAATAGACAACATAGTCTTAGTACAAATGCTGGGCTCATTAGGTAAGTTACACAAGCTGGTAGGATGTGTACTATTTTTGTCTTGCCAGACAGCGACACAGACCACAGACAGTGCAACATCACCAGTTAGGGAAAACACAGCAATTGCCTGGGACATCATTGTTGGAACTAGGAGTTATTATCAGAGTCTTTAACCACATCCTAGAGAGAGTCAAAAAGAAAGAGAGAGAAATGGGATTTTAGTATATCATGCCGGATGTATGACCACTCTTCCAAATGTTGCCTTTTGCAGTGTTTATTTACCTACCCAACCTACTCAGAGGTGACCCTTGGGTAAGCTGTGAGGGCAGTCAAGTATGTGCATTTAGACAAACATACACAGATTTCCCTCCCTACACACACACACCATCACCACCACCACCATCACCAGGCTTCACATTTGGCCACAGTATCTAAAAATATCACCCCAGAAAAAGGTGGAAAAATACCAGTCTTGTGTAGAGGAGAGCGAGATGAAGGAGTAATGGACCAAAACCTCTCTCTTTCCTCCTGATTTCTACCACACCCTGACTACTGAAAGGCAGGCTTGTTCTGTAATGTTTGCTGTCCATCCTCTAACTGTGCACACACACAGTGCACTCACACAAGTTGATGATCTGCCACATAATATCTGACCATTGTATGTCAGGGCTATTTTGGTTGTGTTGCATATGAATTTATTTCTACTTTATAATAACTGAATAAGCCCTGTGATGGATTGGCGACCTGTCCAGGGTGTACCCTGCCCTGCGTGCTCTCGATTGTCGGCCCCCCCCCCCCGTGACCCCCTTCAGGGACTAAACAGTAGAAACTGAATGAATGAATGAATGAATAACTGAATATTAACCTAACATTAGCCACCACAGACTGCAGGTCCAGACTAAGGATCTAGCTGCAAAACATTTTGAACAAAACTGCATTTTGAGTCAACTTTGCATTGGTAAGAGGAAAATTATGATTTTGTTCAAAAGTTTAATAGTTTCACTTTAATGTTATTAGAGTGATATGTGATTTTAATGATTAAAATATGAAGTTTTAATGCATTAATTCATTCACTTGTTCATTCATTCAGAGGTCCACACAATAATAATATTGGTTGATATTTAACTGTTCCGCTCAGGGTTATGCTCATGTCCACACCTTCTCCCTCCACAGTGAAAAAAGTTCGCCCACTCAGGAGTAAAATGGGAAAGACAGGGATGGTATAACTCCATTGCTTGGGAATTTTAAACAGGGGAAAGTTGGCATCACTCAACATCTCAGCTCTACAAAATTCAGCCATGAATATTTCCAGGCTCTGGAAAAATGACCCTCTTCCCATTGCAGCAGAACTAAAGCATTGGGGAGAATTAAAGGTGGATACATTATATCCTCCTTCCATATATTTGAGATTTGAGCTTCTAGTCACACTGGAGGTGATTTTCTTAAATAGTCACTGGTGGTTTCTGAGTGGAGATAACCTTAGGGTCACGCTTAAGATATCAAACCTTGTCCTGAATGCTGAACTTGTTGAACCTTAACCATAATCAGATGCACAAACAGTTCTTTCCATGACTTTTGAGTGGTCAGATAGAGAGAAAAGCGCACCCCACACGCTCATGCGCACGCGCTCACACACACACATAAGGGCTGGTGAGGAAGACAGAGCCTATTTCAATGTACTTTCCTGCTGTCAGAATGTCTGGTATGCATTAGCCACAGACTCCAGTGGGATAGTTGAGTCCACTGCATATGTGTGCATGCGGGTAGATGCATATGAGCGGGTGCACAAAAACACATACACACACACAAACACAAAGGAAGTGAGACAAGAGAGACAAGTCTCACTTAATTATGCATAGCTGAGAAAACAAATAATCCGTCCTTGACATTTTTGAGCTCAGTGCTAAACAGAAGAAGATCTGGGATTGTGGAGAAATTCTGAAATATATAAAGCATCTTATGTTACATTCACATCTGGTTAAATAGGTCAGAAATGTAGCTATTACTGTAATAGATACTTGTATGTGTAAACAGACGTATTCCTGAAAGTAACCAAAACATACGCACACTATTGAACTTCATAACTCCTTCTATTAACAATGACCTGTATCTCACCAATTCTCTGTCTTTCCTCACTTTCTTTAAACTCCTAATAAAACTCTTCTTTTTTTTTTATTCTGTTATATTTGGCACAAAGTGTGAATGAGTAGAGTATTGCTGTAGGTTAAGAAAAAGTTGTTTACATGTGTTGTGTATATGTGTGTGTAATACGTGCCTGCAGCTCTTGCTGAATAATTAATAATGAATGAATATAAAAACACAAACTTGAAAAAGCAGCTGTTTAGTTTTATTCTGAAGAATATGAAGTAAAAGGCTTTATTTTGAAAGTGGAAGTGGGGTGGAGTAAGGCGGGAGGATGTGGAAGTGATGTAGCTTTTTTCCACTGTTTTTTCTTTTCTTTTCTTTTCTTTTAAGCACTGCTTGGCAGAGGCCAGTGTGACCTGTAAATTCTGTGCTGAATGTTTCTGGGGGGGAAAAAACATCATTAACTTTTTAGACCTACGTACATGTCATTCATTATCCTTTCAACAATAAATTAAAATCAGCCTGATGATGGAAAGTTTGAGACTGGGATCATCAGCAGGAGTCAATTCAGGGTTTTACTGGCAAATATCTGCTAGATTTCTACTATTTCAACAATAATCAAACTACTCTCTTTAGCCCCTATATATTTCTGTCTCTGCCCACCAAGTGTTGATACTCTATTTCCTTGGTCCTATTTCACTGACATCACAAAAACCACCCCTATAGTGCAGGGAGAGCTGGATGTTGGGATCAAAGGGTCCAGACCAGAGAGAGAGGACCGCATGGCTCCCACAAAATAGCACTTATCCAAAAATCTCAATCAGTTCCACTATTGCCTTGTGGACTACAGCACCAAACCCAAAAACATGACCCAAAACTCACAAAAATCATTTTATAATATTCACAAACTCATGGAATGATCTCATTGCAGCCAGAGACTTAAATACAGACACCCACTTTGCCCACCTACCTGGGTTGACTTGTGATGTGACAGCTCCTAACAGGCAGAGGAGGATGAGCAGGAATAAGTGAATGTTCCACAGGTGCTTCATCCCCAACACATGCACAGGCTTCCAATCTGCAAGGCAAGATAGAAATAGCAGGTTACACGGTTTAATATAACGCACATTATGACCACAAGGCTAAAAAAAAAGCACATTTTTATTTCACACAATAAAAGACAGTAATTGGAATTTCCATAAATTTTGTACTTTGTGATTGTAGGAACAAATGAAGGGGCAAATGATGGAGGAAGAGGAGAAAGAAAAGCAGAGACACTGAGTCACAGACATTACTTCAGCTGGACAGATGCAGCACCAACAAGCTGACTCCAGCTAACCACTCTGTCCAGCAGCGGAGAAAAACAACTGGCTTTTAGCCACATTTCAGTTATGATTGACTGCCCAAATCTAAATGCACAAAAATGGATAAACAAATAATAAAATGGTTTCTTACATTAGACAGAAACATATAAAGTTTTAATTTTAAAGCTTTTTGATGCTTTCTGGTTGTTTTAGCCTCTATCTAACTTTTTTGTTGTTGTTGTTTTTAACTGTTGAACAAGTGTCAGGCTTTGTGCTACAACTCCAATATAAATACTACAATACATCACCAAAGCAGGGTTATCTAAACCTACAGGCACATGAGGCAAAACACCACCAAAGCACTGTGGGAATTTTCTTTAAAGCTTTTTGATGCTTTCTGGTTGTTTTAGCCTCTATCTAACTTTTTTGTTGTTGTTGTTTTTAACTGTTGAACAAGTGTCAGGCTTTGTGCTACAACTCCAATATAAATACTACAATACATCACCAAAGCAGGGTTATCTAAACCTACAGGCACATGAGGCAAAACACCACCAAAGCACTGTGGGAATTTTCACAGAAAAATATGAGTGTGTGTGTGTGCGTGTTAAAAGTTGCTGGTCTTCATCAGTGGCAAAAAAACTCAATTTTCCTGATACATCCCCATCAAAATAACACAAGGAACAGCAGAATGCAGTGTTTCACTGTGGTCAATGGGATAAGATTGGATTACAGGACACATGGGATTCAGCCTGCGGTCAGTGAGTGTTGTAACAACATGTCTGTGATTATTTTATTGTTGCTTATGGTCAAGAGGGGATCTCCACCAGTGGCAAATTTGCCTGTTAATGCTCCAGTTACCCTTTGTCCAAATTATCCTCTGATGTTTATCAAGTGCAGTCTTACATATACAGCACTCTGTCTATGAAAAACAAATCCAGGTGTGTTGACTTTGAGTTCATGCCCATATTTAATCTCTTCTTGATACCTGATGTTAAATGATTAAACTGTTCTCTAGCTTTCCTGTCAGGTTTGCCCAGCTACACCTTCCTCTCTTCTTTTTCCTCACACTAGTCCTTGCACTGATTACACTATTCAACACACCTGCCCCGCTTCCCTGATTACTCACCAGCTGCACCTCATTAGTCTCCTCCATACTTATACACTGTTCACCAGTCACTCCCCTGCCAGTTCTTTCTCTGTCTTCAGGTCAGTGGTTGTTATGTTGTTTTGTCAAGTTTATGCTAAGATTGTCTTTGTTCTATCTAGTCCTTGTTAGCACCCTAGTCGTTATCCTGCCGTCTCTAGTGTCTTCTTCCTCTTCGGCCCTCTCCTCTGGACCCCAC